CAGTGTGGGGCAGTGTGGGCCAGTGTGGGCCAGTGTGGGGCAGTGTGAGGCAGTGTGGGGCAGTGTGGGCCAGTGTGGGCCAGTGTGGGCCAGTGTGGGCCAGTGTGGGGCAGTGTGAGGCAGTGTGGGGCAGTGTGGGCCAGTGTGGGCCAGTGTGGGCCAGTGTGAGGCAGTGTGGGGCAGTGTGGGCCAGTGTGGGGCAGTGTGGGGCAGTGTGGGGCAGTGTGGGCCAGTGTGGGCCAGTGTGGGCCAGTGTGGGCCAGTGTGGGGCAGTGTGGGGCAGTGTGGGCCAGTGTGGGCCAGTGTGAGGCAGTGTGGGGCAGTGTGGGCCAGTGTGGGGCTGTGTGGGGTGTGGGGCAGTGTGGCAGTGGGGCCAGTGTGGGCCAGTGTGGGCCAGTGTGGGCCAGTGTGGGCCAGTGTGGGCCAGTGTGGGCCAGTGTGGGGCAGTGTGGGCCAGTGTGGGCCAGTGTGGGCCAGTGTGGGCCAGTGTGGGGCAGTGTGGGGCAGTGTGGGCCAGTGTGGGGCCAGTGTGGGCCAGTGTGGGCAGTGTGGGCCAGTGTGGGCCAGTGTGGGCCAGTGTGGGCCAGTGTGGGCCAGTGTGGGGTGTGGGCAGTGTGGGCCAGTGTGGGCCAGTGTGGGCAGTGTGGGCCAGTGTGGGCCAGTGTGGGGCAGTGTGGGCCAGTGTGGGCCAGTGTGGGCAGTGTGGGCCAGTGTGGGGCAGTGTGGGCCAGTGTGGGCCAGTGTGGGGCAGTGTGGGCCAGTGTGGGCCAGTGTGGGGCAGTGTGGGCCAGTGTGGGCCAGTGTGGGCAGTGTGGGCAGTGTGGGCCAGTGTGGGCCAGTGTGGGCCAGTGTGGGCCAGTGTGAGGCAGTGTGGGCCAGTGTGGGCCAGTGTGGGCAGTGTGGGCCAGTGTGAGGCAGTGTGGGCCAGTGTGGGGCAGGCAGTGTGGGGCAGTGTGGGCCAGGGGCAGTGTGGGCCAGTGTGGCAGTGTGGGGCAGTGTGGGCAGGTGTGGGCCAGTGTGGGCCAGTGTGGGCCAGTGTGTGGCAGTGTGGGCAGTGTGGGGCAGTGTGGGCCAGGCCAGTGTGAGGCAGTGTGGGCAGTGTGGGGCAGTGTGTGTGGCAGTGTGGGCCTTGTGGGGCAGTGTGGGCCAGTGTGAAGGCAGTGTGGGGCAGTGTGGGCCAGTGTAGTGTGAGGCAGTGTGGGGGCAGTGTGGGGCAGTGTGAGGCAGTGTTAGGCCCGTGTGGGGCAGTGTGGGCAGTGTGAGGCAGTGTGAGGCAGTGTGAGGCAGTGTGGGCCAGTGTGGGCAGTGTGAGGCAGTGTGAGGCAGTGGGGGCAGTGTGAGGCAGTGTGGGGCAGTGTGGGCCAGTGTGAGGCAGTGTGAGGCAGTGTGGGCAGTGTGAGGCAGTGTGAGGCAGTGTGAGGCAGTGTGGGGCAGTGTGGGCAGTGTGAGGCAGTGTGGGCCAGTGTGAGGCAGTGTGGGCAGTGTGAGGCAGTGTGGGCCAGTGTGAGGCAGTGTGAGGCAGTGTGAGGCAGTGTGGGGCAGTGTGAGTTGTGCCAGTGTGAGGCAGTGTGGGGCATTGTGGAGCAGTGGGGCCAGTGAGGCAGTGTGGGCAGTGTGGGCCAGGCAGTGTGGGCAGTGTGGGGCAGTGTGAGGCAGTGTGAGGCAGTGTGGGGCAGTGTGGGCCTAGTGTGGGCCAGTGTGGGCCAGTGTGGGCAGTGTGAGGCCAGTGTGAGGCAGTGAGGGGGGTGTGAGGCAGTGTGAGGCAGTGTGAGGACAGTGTGAGGCAGTGTGAGGCAGTGTGGGGCAGTGTGCGGCAGTGTGAGGCACGAGTGAGGCAGTGTGAGGCAGTGTGAGGCAGTGTGAGGCAGTGTGAGGCAGTGTGAGGCCAGTGTGAGGCAGTGTGAGGCAGTGTGAGGCAGTGTGAGGCAGTGTGAGGCAGTGTGAGGCAGTGTGAGGCCAGTGTGAGACAGTGTGCGGCCAGTGTGAGGCAGTGTGAGGCAGTGTGAAAGCAGTGTGAGGCAGTGTGAGGCAGTGTGAGGCAGTGTGAGGCGTGTGGGGCAGTGTGAGGCAGTGTGAGGCAGTGTGAGGCAGTGTGAGGCAGTGTGAGGCAGTGTGAGGCAGTGTGCGGCAGTGTGAGGCAGTGTGAGGCAGTGTGAGGCAGTGTGAGGCAGTGTGAGGCCAGTGTGAGGCAGTGTGAGGGCCAGTGTGAGGCAGTGTGAGGCAGTGTGAGGCAGTGAGGGGCCAGAGTGAGGCAGTGTGAGGCAGTGTGAGGCAGTGTGAGGCAGTGTGAGGCAGTGTGAGGCAGAGTGAGGCAGTGTGAGGCAGTGTGAGGCAGAGTGAGGCAGTGTGAGGCAGTGTGAGGCAGTGTGAGGCAGTGTGAGGCAGAGTGAGGCAGTGTGGGCAGTGTGAGGCAGTGTGAGGCAGTGTGAGGCAGTGTGAGGCAGTGTGAGGCAGTGTGAGGCAGTGTGAGGCAGTGTGAGGCAGTGTGAGGCAGTGTGAGGCAGTGTGAGGCAGTGTGAGGCAGAGTGAGGCAGAGTGAGGCAGTGTGAGGCAGTGTGAGGCAGTGTGAGGCAGTGTGAGGCAGAGTGAGGCAGTGTGAGGCAGAGTGAGGCAGTGTGAGGCAGTGTGAGGCAGAGTGAGGCAGAGTGAGGCAGTGTGAGGCAGAGTGAGGCAGTGTGAGGCAGTGTGAGGCAGAGTGAGGCAGAGTGAGGCAGAGTGAGGCAGTGTGAGGCAGTGTGAGGCAGAGTGAGGCAGTGTGAGGCAGTGTGAGGCAGAGTGAGGCAGTGTGAGGCAGTGTGAGGCAGTGTGAGGCAGTGTGAGGCAGTGTGAGGCAGTGTGAGGCAGTGTGAGGCAGTGTGAGGCAGTGTGAGGCAGTGTGAGGCAGTGTGAGGCAGTGTGAGGCAGTGTGAGGCAGTGTGAGGCAGTGTGAGGCAGAGTGAGGCAGTGTGAGGCAGTGTGAGGCAGTGTGAGGCAGTGTGAGGCAGTGTGAGGCAGTGTGAGGCAGAGTGAGGCAGTGTGAGGCAGAGTGAGGCAGAGTGAGGCAGTGTGAGGCAGTGTGAGGCAGAGTGAGGCAGTGTGAGGCAGAGTGAGGCAGAGTGAGGCAGAGTGAGGCAGTGTGAGGCAGAGTGAGGCAGTGTGAGGCAGTGTGGGCAGAGTGAGGCAGTGTGAGGCAGTGTGAGGCAGAGTGAGGCAGTGTGAGGCAGAGTGAGGCAGAGTGAGGCAGTGTGGAGGCAGAGTGAGGTAGTGTGAGGCAGTGTGAGGCAGTGTGAGGCAGTGTGAGGCAGTGTGAGGCAGTGTGAGGCAGAGTGGGGCAGAGTGAGGTAGTGTGAGGCAGTGTGAGGCAGAGTGGGGCAGTGTGAGGCAGTGTGAGGCAGAGTGGGGCAGAGTGGGGCAGTGTGAGGCAGTGTGAGGCAGAGTGGAGGAGGTTGTGTCATGTATTCATGTCAAATAAAGGTATATCGTCATATGGACTTATTCATGTGTTTATCCTCCCACTTCATAGCATCGTTGTGCTTTTCATAGGACACAGCAGTGAACACAAACCTACAGATACCAGACAAGGTTCCAGAAAAACTCCGGGCCAGATGTCAAAAAACATTGAAAGACGCAACCCAGATGTCATGAAAAACAGAGATGCCACAAAATCTGACGGATGTAGGACCAGGTCCCAGAGGAGACCACATAGATGACGGATGCGGAAGCCATAAATATGTTCATATAAACATATACAACAAATGACAAAGGCCAGACAAGGGGCCCCCAGCTGTGAGACCGACTGCAGTGACCCCTGTTTTCACCACAGGCACAGACTGAGCTTTGGCACATGTGCAGGAGAAATAAACTTTACTGACGGGAAATTAAGTTTGTGATTATTTGAGCAAACACATTATTTGACATGTTTTAATACAGATCTGTCTACATTAATTAAAGACTATTTTACAAACATCTCTATCAATCGATGAGGGAATCATTAAAGAAGCAGAGATAGAATGTTCATGTTTTTAAGCTAAGTCTCTGTAGCGGTGTGCTAACAAGTTCCATCCTCACTCATGATCTTCACATGGTGATAAGTGATTTGTGCTACTGTATTTTTAGGTAACTTTGCCTTTTATCAGATTCTATCACCTCAAAATATAAAATCTTTTTTTATGGAGCAACGCTGTGACGTGAACCTTTCTGTGGTAACATAAAAGCCCCACAGTGGGAGACGGCCGTGCAGTGGGTCCTACTGTTTTCTCTGTTTAGAAAGCTCCAACATATTTTCATTACAAACAATATGAATATCTTAATATGTTTTAAGGTTGGGAAGTAAAGGGTCAGAAGGTTGATTAAGAAGTCAGATTCACCCAAGAGTCGGCTGCTTACAGCTAGCAAAACACGAGCAGACACCAGTTTGTTTTCCATTTTTAAACCTTAACTGGACATATTTCCAAATGCAGGATTACGTATCTGCGCTCAAACTATTGACTTAAAAAGTAAACACGGTTTGAACTGAAGTGATGTATATGAAGTTTACTGTATATGAGGTACACACATTTGAACTCACAGACACAAGTTCCCGAGGATCTCTTCTGACTCCAGGACAAACATCTGACCAGCTTTTTTCCAACATCAAAAATATGTATTTACAAATCTGCTTAATGTAACTTGGACAATTTATGAACATTTGTGGCGGACATTGTTCATCTGCCCCTTAAGGACCAATGGCTACTCGCTATCGTGTTTTTTATTGCTGCTTTTTCTGTGGCAAATCTATAGCTTTATAAATTCTTCTATGTTCTAGATTACCACTGATAGTGATTTATGACTATACATAAATAGACTGAATTGAAATTTGACTAACTGGTAACTCATAGAACCTGTTTCCAATGATTAAGCGTTTTAAGCAGATTATTGCGAAACTTTTATGTCAGCTGATGGTTTCAAACATTGTAAAAAACCCAAAAGTGTCTGTGTGTGCCATACTCTTAAATATAAGAGCGGTGATAGGAAAGTGTCACCTTGATGTCGTTGCTGCCCACTGCGAGGCCGTTCTCCGCCAGGTCCTTGAGCAGAGACGACATCATCTCTGTGACCCTCTTCTTCTGGTGGTTTGGTCATCTCCTTCAGCTTCTGGCAGCTCCAAGCTCGATGGAGGTCAGAGAGCTCTGAAACACACACAGGAGATTTATGGAAGACAATGGACGAGAACCATCTTACCGACCTCACTACGCACTTCTCATTGTGCAGCACTTTGTATAGCTTTATGTTTGAAGGACCATGTGTCGTCTATGGATCTTTCTGAGCACTATTCTCTCAGTCTCATCATTATGACTTCAGCTGAAGTCTATTCATTGCTATTCACCCGCTTTTCCATCGTCAGATTCATGGCGTGATGATGGAACCCATGAACCCGTATCGGAACCTGTGGACTGTCTTCCTCGGCTCGGACTTGTGGGCTGCACGTCTTCCCTGCCTGGGAGCGGCCTCAGTCCTCGGCCTGTCCGTACATGGGAGCGGATCCCTTAATGTGTTCTCTCAGAGGTTTCTTATTTTCTCCATCTTGGTTTTTAGAGTTTTACCTTGCCGATGCAGGATGGTCTGAGGACAGTGGGGATGATCCACACTGTAAACCCTAAATTCAATCGTACGTCAGATATCAAAGTTATTTTAAATAGATTTTTCCCAGTAAGTAGATCTTATTTATTTCCAAGGTTTTTTCAAGTAAACTTTCCCCACCCCCCCCACCCCCACCCCCCCCCCCCCCCCCCCCCCCCCCCCCACTGTCAGGGTTTACATGCAGGACTTAAGGTGAAATTTAAACATTATTGCAATCAAGTGCATATCAACAACATTTATGGTCACAAGTTTATGGACTATGGACTATGGATTTATGGACATTGGTTTCTGCCCCTTATGGACCCAACGGCATTTCTTGTGGACCAACAGTTTTATTCTCTGATCTCTGTTGACGAATTCAATGGTTTATGTAGGAAAGCCAAGCCGAGAACGGAAGTGCGCCCCTAGTGTTAGGTTTCGTTTTTGCATGTTAGTGTCACTTTTGTTTCTGAGCACGTATGCTATTAATAGAGCAACCACAGCAGCTAGATGCGCTGCAGAGACTTTTTTACGTGCATTAAGGACTCATTAACGTTGTTCCCTGTGTGTCAGTGTGCGTAAATGATCAAAAAGTAAGTGCAATTGTGTGATTAGTTGACCAATGTGCCTGTTATAGATAGATAATAGATAAATGCTTTATTGTCAGATACAAGGATCCGAAATTTGTTTTGCAGTTCAGCAGCTCCGTAAAAATACAAACAAGACATACACGTATAAGACAATTCACAAAGACATTATAAACAATTGTCCGCTCGCTATAACACACTTTGATTTTATGACTTAAGATCCTCGTTTAGCTTCAGGATGGACTGATGGACAAAGGAGTTCCTCAACCTGACTTTATTAAAATGTGGCACACGGTACCGCCGCCCTGATGGTAACAGCGCATATTCGAGTTTCAGAACATGGCCGGGGTCTGAAGTGATGTTCTTAGCCAGTCGCAGTGTGTTGCTATGGTATGCAGCCTCGTACAGTCCATCCAGGGGCTGTCCTACAATCTTTGAGCAGATTTTAATCAAGTGTCTCAGTCCAGATTTAGCAGTGACAGAGAGACAGCTGTACCACACAGCGTTACAGTACTGCAGGACACTGAGAATCACAGAAGTGAAGAACAGAAGCAACACCTGACGAGACGCTCCAAAAGACCGCAGGCGACGGAGGAAATATATTCTTTGTTTAGTCTTTTACAGATGAAGTCAATGTGGTGTTTCCAAGACAAGGAACAGTCTAAGACCACACCCAGATATTTGAATGACTCCACCTGTTTGATTGGCTCGTTGTTGATGATAGTGGGAGCTGTGGTTACTGGGTTTAAACTAAATACCACCTCCTCTCTTTTTTTGGTGTTTATTTCCAGAGCGTTGTTTTTGTTCCAAATCACAACCTTGTCTATGCCCTGCTGGTGCAGCCCAGGACTGTCAGTATTTGACAGAAGGGTCACCAGGACCGTGTTTAGACTTAACACGTGTTTTCTTCAGTCTCAACTTAGCATGAGTAATGTGACGTACATTTGTGAAGTAGAGTTCTAATGTTAATTGACCTGCTAATTCATAGTTTAAAGTTAATTCTATTTTTAGTATATTGTTATTTTACGTGAATTGTGTAGTTGACTGCCTGCCGCTGCGTCTCGCACCAAAGTAAAGGGTATGTCTGGTAAATTTTGGGAGCACTCAAATAAGTGCTGTTATTTTGCTCTTACAGCATTGCAGTGTCAATTTAGAGCTGTTATGTGTATGTTATGTATTATAATATATGCCTTGTAGTTATGTACAGTGTACAGTTTGTACATTTATTCATTATATTTTTTGTCTGTTCTTTGTTGCAGACCACACACACACACACACACACACACGTTACATATTTGTAACACACCCGTGAATGTGAATAAACCAACGACTGAGAAATATCCCCCCTCTGGACCCTGATTCTCTGACCGGAATCTTTCCATACTGTTGCCGCCTCAACCAGTGTATATCCCTTAGTGGGCCAGTTAAATTATTGAGCCTCCACTTCATTTGGTCCTTCGAGCCGGATTGAGTGCACCCCCCACCGCACAGTATGGAAGCTGCAGATGCCCGAGAGCTCCAGGAAAGACCACAGAGAGAACGCCGTCTCCCTACGTATCTACTTGATTATGATGTTGGATACCCTCCACGACCCAACCATCCTAAAGCCGCTTCAACCAGTTCCTGCTCAAGCTCCAGCAGTAAACACAGAAGCCAATCTAGGAGATCCGGTAGTGGCTCCTTCCGCAGCATAGGCAGATCAAGTAGAGGTCATTTCCCGAACATAGAGTTCAACTCAACGCAGTCTGCTCTTCTGGAGGAAGGGTTGAGTCAAATCGAGCTTGATGACCTTAGACAGGAACTAGCTGAGGACACTCAAGCAGATATGGAGTATCAGCGCTTACAGCTCCAGGCTAAGGAGGCGCAGCGCGCACAAGAAGAAGCACTACTTGCTAAGGAGACTCTTCATAAACAACTGGATAGGAATCGTCGCCTGCAGGAAGCCAGAGAAGGGTGAGAATGGCTAAACTGGCCTCCTCAGTCCTAAACACAGATGCGCAGGCTGTTTCACCAGAGCCCTCATTAACTCCTGAAGGCTACCTCCAGCTACCAGTATCCACACCGTCTGCTAGTAGCACAAGACCATCAGTTGTTATGGATACTATGTCCATTGCACATTGCAGCTCAGCCACCTTCTGTGCCAAGACAACCCACACCTGTGCCAGACAACGCTCCGAGCCTTCTTCAAGCCACGCAGCCAACGCAGTATGTACCCTCCTATCCACACACAGAGTACGAATACACTCATGATGCAGTCGCACTCGGACAATCATGCAGCTCAGCTTCCTCCTGCAGTTATGACTACACAATCTAATGTCGCACCCATAATGACCTCCGCCTTGTCTCCACCGATGTATGGCCAGCCTTTACCGTCTGCACTACAGACACTGCCAGCCCAAGGTCAACCAGCAGTCTCCCAGCCATTCTATCCATCATTTCAGCCCCGTGATCTTCCACCATTTGGATCAGATATGCTGATTGCTTCCACTTACGGTATTCCCAGGCCTACCCTGCCTTATTTTGAGAGTGGACGTGAAAGCGACTTTGCCCTGCTGAAGATGGCACTCGACAACCTCCTGAGTACCCACACTCACCTCAGTGAACAGTATAAGTATCAGGTACTACTCGGTCAGCTGAAGCACGCTAGCGCACTCCAACTTGCTAAAGCTCACATGTACCACCCACAGCCCTACACCACGGCCTTGAAAGCTCTTCAAGACAAGTACGGCCAACCACGGCAGCTCGTTCAATCTGAACTGGGTACAATATTGAGCATGCCAGCTTTCAAACCAGGAGACTTTGCTGCATTCGACTCCTTCGCCCTGGCGGTGCAGTCATTGGTTGGAATGCTAAGGTCACTTGAGGGTCATAACAGTTACGAGCTGATGTGTGGCTCTCACGTTGATCGCCTGCTGAGCAAGATGCCGCCACACCTCCGTGACAGCTTTGTGGAATACTGCCTGACCCGTGGTATCCTTCAGACAGGTACTAACAGAACATACACTCTTCCTGATCTAGCAGCTTGGTTGCAGGTTAAGTCTCAAGCCAAACAGATCTCAAGTCGCGCAGCATCACAGTTCACTGCTGAAACCCCCAAGCCGATGAATACTTACAGGAGTACGCATCCAAAGGACAGGGTTACTCCAGTTCTGCTAACACTTGATAGTAAGCCATCTGCCTCAACTACATCTAAAGCCCAACCTAACTCCAAGCCCAAGCCATATTGTCCATGGTGTGATAACACAGAGCATTATCTTAACTTCTGCAATGACTTTAAGAAACTTCACGTAAACGAGATCATAAAGTGGATCAAAGATGGAATAAGATGTTGGAGATGCGGTCGAAATCATAGTTGCAGACACCTGTACTCTGAAACGCCCCTGCGAAGTCTGTAAAGAGACACACCTCACCATTCTCCATGAATCGGTTCAAGCCACTTCTGGGGCTTTCCTCATGGTCAATATCCCCTCCACTCAAATCTACTTTGACCGTCCTAACCGATCACAGCGCGTCATGCTGAAAGTAGTGAGTGTCCTTGTCCACAATGGAAATCGATCAATGCAAGCGTATGCCATACTGGATGATGGATCAGAAAGAACTGTTATTCTCCCCCCAGTTGTGCAACATCTGAACTTCAAGGGTGATTCCGAGACCCTGGCTCTCCGGGACAGTGCATCGAAAAGTTGAACACATTGCTGGCTCATCTATCTCCTTTGAGATTTCTCCCCATTGAGAACCCCTCTGAGAGGTACCACATTCGCAATGCCTTCTCAGCCCAAGAGCTCAGCCTAGCTGATGTGTCTTACCCCGTACATGCTCTCCAGCAGCGTTATCAGCACCTTAAGGGTCTTCCACTACGCCCGTTGAGTAATGTACAGCCACTCATTCTGATAGGGTCTGACGCACCTCACCTGCTCACCCCTATTCAGCCCATATGCAAAGGACCCCAATATGGACCAATCGCCGTCTGCACGCCTCCTTGGATGGACACTGCAGGGCCCCATGAGTCCTTTCCAAAGTTCTCACAAGGAACAACAGTGTCTACATCTTGCCCTAACTGAAGATCGACAGCAGGAGTTAGTCAACAATGAGGAGCGCTTGTTGAATCTAGACGTTCTCCCCCCGAGCGAGAAAGCGCACACCAGTTCCAAACAGGATCAACAAGCATACAATCTTCCACAATGCGCAACCATCAGAGTTGATGTGCAAGGAGTGCAACACAAACACCACTCCGTTGCTTCGCTGTGGTCCAGATGTTCAGCTTCAGGAATCTGCATTCATTGAAGCGATTATTACCGACTCTCCAGCCCCCGATGCTTCCCAGTTTCTGTCACGGGATGCCCTCGTCCAAGCCACTATGGGGGTTGTCAACGGGGCGGCTAACCCAAGCAGCGACAAGTTTCCTGAAGAGCTACTTCATCCAGGCCCTGAGAGAGTCTTGATTAAGAGGAGACGTCAGTATTTGGTGCTCACAGGCAGGGAAGCTCTCAGAAAGCTCCAGCACTCCTCCATGAGCGTCAACACTGGCGTGCAAAGCCCACCATCTCGAAGACATCCAACTTTCCACACAACCGTTTACGCCAGCACAAGCATCCATTCTATTCCACTGGAGTGAACTGTTTTGGTCCGTTCTCTGTCAAGATCGGTCGGCGTAAAAGGAGGAGATGGAGACATTGTCAGATCTTGGCGGACAGCTTTTGGACAGCTTTCATCCGGAACTACCTTCCGAGTCTCCAAGAACGTCAGAAGTGGAGAACTGACACAAAGGAACTGGACACAGGCCAAGTTGTCCTCATCGTCGACCCACAGCTGCCGCGGGCTCTCTGGCCAGTGGGCTCCGTGACAGAGACGTTCAGAGGATCCGACGGACGCGTCCGGACTGCATCAGTGAAGGTCAACGAGAAGACTTACACTCGACCCGTTGCCCGGCTGATCTCCTTGCCGAGGAAAGCCAAGCCTTTCTAAATAGAGATTGCAGAAATTTGGGGCGCTGTGTGCGCCCCCTAGTGTTAGGTTTCGTTTTTGCATGTTAGTGTCACTTTGTTTCTGAGCACGTATGCTATTAATAGAGCAACCACAGCAGCTAGATGCGCTGCAGAGACTTTTTTACGTGCATTAAGGACTCATTAACGTTGTTCCCTGTGTGTCAGTGTGCGTAAATGATCAAAAAGTAAGTGCAATGTGTGATTAGTTGACCAATGTGCCTGTTATAAATCCATATGTCCCGTGTTTAGACTTAACACGTGTTTTCTTCAGTCTCACTTAGCATGAGTAATGTGACGTACATTTGTTGAAGTAGAGTTCTAATGTTAATTGACCTGCTAATTCATAGTTTAAAGTTAATTCTATTTTTAGTATATTGTTATTTTACGTGAATTGTGTAGTTGACTGCCTGCCGCTGCGTCTCGCACCAAAGTAAAGGGTATGTATGTAATTTTGGGGCAGCACTCAATATAAGTGCTTGTTATTTTGCTGACTTTGTGTATGTTTATGTATTATATTTTATTGCCTTGTAGTTATGTACAGAGTACAGTTTTGTACATTGATTCATTATATTTTTGTCTGGTTCTTTGCTGTCAGACCACACCACACACACACACACACACGTTACATATTTGTAACCCACCGGGAAGTAAAACACCCTGCTATCTCTACCGAGAACTTGTCACAGTTAACTCAGTCAACCATTGGTTTTGTATTTCTTTATTCCGTCATTTTTTTTGACACGTTTCACAGCTTTCACATTTTCAACAATTTCCACAAGTTATACATCAAAACGTTCCACATGTTTGGGAGATTATTGCTATTACTTTTGGGACTTCAGCGATTTCCGGTTTTTTCCGCAATCGGACAAAAATCTGCATTGAGAATTCTGCAATGCATTTTAATAGGCCCATGCATTTTAATAGGACTTCAGCTCTTTCAGACATTTCTACAGTTTCAATGATTCAACAGTTTCATGGATTCAACAGTTTCAAGGATTTCAGCAGTTTCAAGATTTCAAGAGTTTCAAGGACTTCAACAGTTTCAAGGACTTCAGCAGTTTCAAGGACTTCAGCAGTTTCAAGGACTTCAGCAGTTTCAAGGACTTCAAGCAGTTTCAAGGACTTCAACAGTTTCAAGGACTTCAGCAGTTTCAAGGACTTCAGCAGTTTCAAGGACTTCAGCAGTTTCAAGGACTTCAGTGTAATCATGCAACCGTAATAGGGATTTTTCCATGTAAACCAGTATAATGCAACTTAATAGGGATTTTTCCATGTAAACCAGTATAATGCAACTTAATAGGGTTTTTTCCATGTAAACCAGTATAATGCAACTTAATAGGGGTTTTTTCCATGTAAACCAGTATAATGCAACTTAATAGGGTTTTTTCATGTAAACCAGTAATAATGCAACTTAATAGGGGTTTTTTTTCATGTAAACCAGTATAATGCAACTTAATGGGGATTTTTCCATGTAAACCAGTATAATGCAACTTAATAGGGGTTTTTACATGTAAACCAGTATAATGCAACTTAATAGGGTTTTTTTCCATGTAAACCAGTATAATGTAAACCAGTACAATGCAACTTAATAGGGATTTTTCCATGTAAACCAGTATAATGCAACTTAATAGGGTTTTTTACATGTAAACCAGTATAATGCAACTTAATGGGGATTTTTCCATGTAAACCAGTATTATGCAACTTAATAGGGATTTTTCCATGTAAACCAGTATAATGCAACTTAATAGGGTTTTTTCATGTAAACCAGTATAATGCAACTTAATAGGGTTTTTTTTTCATGTAAACCAGTATAATGCAACTTAATGGGGATTTTTCCATGTAAACCAGTATAATGCAACTTAATAGGGGTTTTTACATGTAAACCAGTATAATGCAACTTAATAGGGTTTTTTTCCATGTAAACCAGTATAATGCAACTTAATTAGGGTTTTTTCCATGTAAACCAGTATAATGCAACTTAATAGGGTTTTTTCCATGTAAACCAGTACAATGCAACTTAATAGGGATTTTTCCATGTAAACCAGTATAATGCAACTTAATAGGGTTTTTTACATGTAAACCAGTATAATGCAACTTAATGGGGATTTTTCCATGTAAACCAGTATTATGCAACTTAATAGGGATTTTTCCATGTAAACCAGTATAATGCAACTTAATAGGGATTTTTCCTTGTAAACCAGTATAATGCAACTTAATAGGGTTTTTTTCATGTAAACCAGTATAATGCAACTTAATGGGGATTTTTCCATGTAAACCAGTATTATGCAACTTAATAGGGATTTTTCCATGTAAACCAGTATAATGCAACTTAATAGGGTTTTTACATGTAAACCAGTATAATGGAACTTAATAGGGGTTTTTACATGTAAACCAGTATAATGGAACTTAATAGGGGTTTTTACATGTAAACCAGTATAATGCAACTTAATAAGGATTTTTACATGTAAACCACTATAATGTAACCTAATAGGGGTTTTTACATGTAAACCAGTATAAAGCAACTTAATAGGGATTTGTACATGTAAACCAGTATAATGCAACCTAATAGGGATTTTTCCATGTAAACCAGTATAATGCAACTTAATAGAGATTTTTCCATGTAAACCAGTATAATGCAACTTAATAGGGATTTTTCCATGTAAACCAGTATAATGCAACCTAATAGGGATTTTTCCATGTAAACCAGTATAATGCAACCTAATAGGGATTTTTCCATGTAAACCAGTATAATGCAACCTAATAGGTTGCATTATACCACCAGACCAAGACCCAAACGAAGACTCAGACCACCACCAGATAATGACCACAGACCAGGTTTCCTTAGTTACAGGAACCAAATTGTTTCAGCGGTGAGGGGATTTTTCAGTTTCAAGGACACTTTCAATACATTCAGTAGTTTCAAGGATTTCAACTGTTTAAGAATTTAACCAGTTTCAAGGATATCAGGAGGTTCAAGGATTTCAGGAGTTTCCACACTTTCAACAGTTTCCAGGTTTAAAAAAAGTTTCAAGGATTTCAGGAGTTTCAATGTTTCAACAGTTTCAAGGATTTCAGGAGTTTAAAGGTTTCAACAATTTCAAGGACTTCAGGAGTTTCAAATATCTATCAAGTATTTTAACAGTTTCAAGGCCTTTTAAAGGATTTCAAGGATTTTTTTTAGCAGATTTCCACATTAGATCTGTTCCGCAGTCAATCGCAATGGCTTCAGCCATTGCAAGTTTCTAGTTAGAGCTGTTGTTTATGTTGTTTGTCCCAACAGAAAAAAATATAACGTTGTGAACAAATGAGACCACAACTTTCATGTTCTCAGAGAACATGTTATCTGCACATAATAAACAAACCCTGTGAGTCTATTTCTGTTGCTTTGGGCTCAGAGCTGATCTGTGGACGTGACAGAACCATGCAGTGTGGACAATAGTGATTTAAGAACGAGAAAATAGTGATAGGATTTTTTAAAACGTAGTTTGCGTTTCCTGTACGCTTTATTATCTGGTACCGTATCCAAGCGCAACCTACACACAACCAATCAGTATCAGGAAATGCCTTGGTAACTGTCAGTCAGTGGAAGGGACTAAAGAAGGACCTGCTACTGGTTACGCAGGACCAGAGGAAACACTCCCACTGAGGTTTAAGTTATGTACCCAAGCTTTAATGATCAAATGAAAATAGTGAAGGGAGAATAAAAAATAAAAAAAGAAGAAGATAGAAGACAGGATCAGTTCAAGATCGTTTTATTCAATTATCTACTGAAATAAATACAGTTTTAACATTTACAACGGGAAGTGTGTGCATCATTTCCGTTGCTTTCTGCGCTTCCCGCCATCATCTGCTGCAGTGTTGTGAGGCGGCTGTCAACAAACGGGCAGCAGCTAGTGCCGAATGCCGGTGAAACTCTATTTCTGCTTCTTTATGCCTTCAGAAACCTGCCCAACGGCTTAAACGCGTCCGTACTACCGCCTCGAACCGGCAGGTAAGCGACCCGGGAAGCTTCACCCGAGCGCCAACGCGTTTTCTCACTAAAGTCCGTTAGCGCGGTTAGCTCCCGATGCTAACTGATGCTAACGTCTGCTTTCAGCTCCTGATGCTAACGGATGCTAACGGATGCTAACGTCTGCTTTCAGCTCCTGATGCTAACGGATGCTAACGGATGCTAACGTCTGCTTTCAGCTCCCGATGCTAACGGATGCTAACGTCTGCTTTCAGCTCCTGATGCTAACGGATGCTAACGTCTGCTTTCAGCTCCTGATGCTAACGGATGCTAACGGATGCTAACGTCTGCTTTCAGCTCCCGATGCTAACGGATGCTAACTGATGCTAACGTCTGCTTTCAGCTCCTGATGCTAACGGATGCTAACGGATGCTAACGTCTGCTTTCAGCTCCTGATGCTAACTGATGCTAACGTCTGCTTTCAGCTCCTGATGCTAACGGATGCTAACTGATGCTAACGTCTGCTTTCAGCTCCTGATGCTAACGGATGCTAACTGATGCTAACGTCTGCTTTCAGCTCCTGATGCTAACGGATGCTAACGTCTGCTAACGTCTGCTTTCAGCTCCTGATGCTAACGGATGCTAACTGATGCTAACGTCTGCTTTCAGCTCCTGATGCTAACGGATGCTAACGGATGCTAGCTGACGCTAATGTCGGCCTAAGCTCGTGTCCATTCTGTGGTGTGGGGAACGCACGCACGCTGCTGTTGCGGCATTTTCACGGCATTTAACTCTATTAAAGTGACATGGTCGCACACAAAGTTAGCAGCTGTGGTCCTTTTCCCGCACTTTTATCAAAAACACGTTGTTACAGTGAGCGAATCCCATGGTGCGTTGGTAACGTGTGTATTTTACAGCGATGCAAATGAGGCTAGATGCTAATGTGATGCAAAGCTGGCAGCTAACGGGACCAGGAAACGAAAACATTGGGAGGGATGCCTGGGGTGTAGTTTTACATTTATCTCTGAAACGCGTGCAGCTCGTTCTCTTCCATGCTGTGTTTTGGTTGCGCTGATCCCATGTGTCACGTTGGGTCTTTTTACCCGCGACTTTGCTCTGAGTTTAGATTTAGCATCGTCTGTGACTATTAACCATTTTAACTTCTTCATTCGCGAAACAAAAGTGTCATAAATGTTGCATAAGTGTCTGTTTGCAGTGACTGCGGTTTAAGCCAAATAATCCGTTACTTTCCACGCACTCAGCACACGCCATTGCACGTGGTGAATAAACTTCACTTATATTATTTATACTAACTATACTAACTTTATACTAACTTTTTGTTCCAAATATACAGAAAAAAATACATACATAAAGAAAAAAAATCAAAACTCATTTAAAGTAAAACTACTCGTTCTGCCAAAATACCTTCACAAAAAGTAGTTAACTTCTCTAAGAACCACGTATTCGACCCCTGACAGTTGGTGCTTTTTAAATTCTGAAAAATGACGTCAATGTTCTAATGTATTAGTTATTGAAGTACACTTCTTTTCCAAATACACTGCCTCAAAATCATGTTCTGTGGCCACTGTTAAAATGGGTTCATATTGTACTTAAGCAGCAGAGAATATGACCAGAATGAATAATAGCAGTGAGTCTGATCAGTACAGATCAATGGCTTGTGTCCAGGCTCAGCAGTTGTTAGTCTGTCACCAATCAGCATAGAACCTCTCCGTTTGTGCTGCGACTCGTAAACACAGTGGTTACATGAAGGCCGTTTGCATAGCAGTGGTTATTATTTGATTAGCCTTTAATCACTCACACAGTTAATGACTTTCTCTACAAGTTTCCTGAGGACCACTGTTTTAGTCCCAGAGCTTGGCTTTAGTCCCTTCTCTGAGCGAGTCTAGTTCTGCTTCTTTGTTCCTCGTTTCAGTTCTAAAAAGTTGACTCCTTGTGTTCCAGGTCTCTCGTTTCCACTGGACGGTTCTTTCACCTGAACTCTCCCAAATGACGTCTCTGTCGCCGAAACTGTCCAGCGGCGCCGCGGTGAAGATCCGCGTCAACAGTCTAGACCTGGGCACCACCAAATGGAAGGAGGGAACGTTCGAGATCCAGGAGAAGGACAACAAGGCCAGTCTGTGTCTGCGCTTCAGCTGCGGAGGAGCCGCCAAAACATTCCAGGTATGTTCCTAATTCAATCTTTATTAATACACATAGACAACAGGACAGCTGTCCACGCTGACGGCTGCGGGAGACAATGGGATGGATCTCATAACTACTGCACTTGGAGTTTGAACGTGACATATGCAAGGCTCACTAAAATCTAGACTGTACCTTAACCCAAACTGTAATCTTGAATTTAAATGTGTTTTTTAACTCAAACATAGGTTTTTTAATGATAAACCTGAATCGTGCTTTATTTTGAAACATGACTGGATTCTCTTACATCTTGGTCATGGGACACAGCACTAAAATGTTGGAACTCTGGAAACGCTGACGGCTTATACAGCTGCAGGGTCAAACAGAGATTTAAACTTAAAGAAGTTGCATACTACTTCTTTAACATGTTCTGTGGTTAAAAGGTTAATGCTGTGCTTCGTCTGCAGCTCAGTCAGAACGTGAAGAAAGTGGCTCCTCATCTCAATAAGATCACGCTGACCCTGAAGGACAACAGTGTGATCTTTCTGGACAAACTGCCTCAGACTCTGGCCCAGAAAACCAAAGACTATCTGGAGAAACTCCGGCTCGGGAAACCAGGTGAGGACGGCTTCTAGCGGGGCGGCAAGCCCCGGTGATCCAAGATGGCGTCCTATTCAAATGAATGGCTTGTGTTCAGTAGCGCATGAGAGACCGGGAGATTAGCAGAACTCGCCTATATTCGGGCATCGTCTGGTCCTCCTGATTCTGTGCAGTGGATTATCTCCCATAATGCTTTGCTCCATCTCCCATGATGCGTCGCGCCAAACGTGCGTGTGTGGCTCTCATGCACGTGCACAGAGGGGCTCGGCCGCGCTCTGACCAATCAGAGCTGATCAGAGCAGCAGCAGAGCGGAGTCAGAGCGGGAAGGAAAGGAGCAGAGTTTGTGGCAGTAAAGTGTGGATTTAAAGAAAACAGAAGGATTTAAGAAGAAAAAAAGTTCAGAGATGACATGGATATTAAAATCCCCACAAAATCTGATCTTTATGAAAGCTGTAGGTTCTCTGTCAGGTTCTCTGTCAGGTTCTCTGTCAGGTTCTCTGTCAGCTGAGGTCGTGCTGTTTTGATTTACATTGAGTTCTATGGGACTTTTTTCTGGGTAGCCCTCCTGAATTTAGTTTGCGGTACCACAGCGCCCCCTTTGTCCATGGGTGGGACAGCTGTAAGCTAGTAATATAAACATCAGCGTTTAAAGGGGAGGTACTGTGTCTGTCCTATAAAGAGCAGTCATTCAGTGTTTGATACCCAGAGGAACAAGTTAGATTTTGATATTAATTTAAGTCTAAAAGGACCGGTTGCAGTAGAGCACAGTTGTATCATATGTGCCAAAATGTCTGCGTGAACTGGGTTGATTATTAAAGCTGGGGTACCTAACTTTCCAAACACACAACAATGCTCCTCTTTCTAAAGCAGCATTTCAGTCACATTTTAAGATCAGGTTTTCAGACATAGAAGGACCACCCTCACTCGGCCAATCAGCTGTCAGCCCAAACAGTCTTATTTACACTAAAGATAACTTTCTACTGCCACAGCATGTGGTGGTTTGTTCACCTTTTCTGTTGGGACAAAAGTGCATTATTTATGAAAGGGGAATAAGCTGTGTACCCCAGCTTTAATGGAGCAGTAAATGTAATGTAATTATTGTGGTTTTTTTAGTGTTAAAAACTTCGTACGGAAGCGCTAACTTCAGCGTCCTGAGCAACCGCACTGTGAAGAATGACTCCACTCCCCCAGGAGAGAGACAGGTGAGAGACTCCCCCAGGAGAGAGACAGGTGAGAGACTCCCCCTGGAGAGAGGGGGACACTACACGGCACGCTGAACTGACGCAGATCAATTCAGGGGAGGATTTATCAATGATCTCTTCTATGGTACACCTCTGCTCTCTTCTCCTCTTCTTCTCTCTTCCTCTTCGCCTCTTCACCTCTTCTTCCTCTCTTCCTCTTCACCTCCTCTTCACCTGCTAACCCAGTCTGTCTCTGCTCAGTCGGCTCCTCGGCGTCAGAGCTCCGAGACCCGGGACGACTCCACTCCTCGTAAACCTCTGGGCAGCCCAAGCCGAGCCTCCTCTATGCCCACACGCCCTCTGTCTGAGAACAGGTTAGTCACAACAGCTGTGAATATATAAACGTTAAATCCTCTGATCTAATGACGCGTAGTTTCCTAAAAGTTCAAGAGGGAGGAGCGCTTCAGTCAACAGCATTTCTTCCTTTCTCTAAGATTGTTTTTCTAGAAGAGAAATAATTTGAAGTTTATTGACACTAATCCCTTCCATGTGTTCAGACGACAGCTTCATCTGGATATCTGCATATCCAAATCTTTGCACACATCTTGGCGGTGTGTGCAAAGTGCTGAACAACAAGGGCCCCAGTATAGACCCCTGTGGGATCTATGTGCAGGGCTTTGAGTGGGATTAAGACTACACTGAACCTACAAGAGTTAATACCAAGCTGGAGACCTAATCTCCAAATGTAACTTCATAAAGAATCATCTAAAGGTGTAATTCAACCTGGTCTTGTTTCCAGGAGCGAGAAGAGGAAGCGGCTGATGAACTCTGAAAGTGACCTGACTGAAGACTATCCCAAAGAGAACGACTCCTCCAGGTGAAAACTGTGCAGAGACACGTGTCTGAAGAGCTAAGGTCAATATCAATCTGACAATATTTAACTTTTAGCAACAACAAGGCCACAGCGGATCCATCCAGGAAGTTTCTCCAGAGCTGCAAAGACAAACTGAAGCAGCAAGAGGAGAACAGAAACTCTGGTATAACATCACTTCATAATAATAAACATTGGCCTTTAAAGAAATTACATTTGAATCTAACTGAATATTGTTTTAGCTTCTCTGGCTTCGACTCCTCTGCAGCCGACGTCGTTCTATGGAAGCAGATCTGTGACCAAAGACTACGGACAGAGCCCCTCTTTCCTCGACCGGTAAGAGATATGAACACTCACAAGGTTGTGTCTGAGCGGAGCCTGCAGGGCCTTTGATGTGTGGGAAGGGGCAGAGGTCAGAGCGATACGGCGTCAAGCATGTCTGCGGATGTCTATGGTCAGCTCACTAGACATGGACAACAAAATGGGAAACAATGGGATACGAAAGGGACGGCAAACTTCTCCCTCTCTGTGTGTCTTTCTGCTCCCAGTGCCACCATCTTGTGGACACCTGTGGAATTGATGAAGATGAAGTTTGTGACACATGTGAGTGGTGTATGGAAATTTGTTTTACCAATCATAGAAAGGGGAGGGACCGCGAAACGTTGATGGCGCACTAATGGACAGACGAAAGCCTGTAGTTTATGTACAGATCCAGCAGATGGCAGCACAGGCTTTCTTACCTCATGTTTCACTGGAACAAACCATTTGAAACATCATTCCTCTTTATTTTGTTATATCCATCGAGTTGAATGGATACGATTGGTGCATTCAGCTCAATTAACTACAATGGACTTCACTCTTCCCTGAAAGTGATGGTTCTTTAGACTAAATATTGATGTGATCTGTCCACGTCTGCGGTCTAGAGGTGAAACCAATCCACACATTCTCTTTGTCTCAGTCCGTCGGCCGCCTCGCAGTCGTCCTCCGTTAAGAGAAGTCTTCTGTTGCCGAACCACTCGACTCCGTTCAAAAAGGTGCGACCGTCTCTGGACTACGGCGGCTGGAACAAACCCAGACCCACGACTCTGGCTCAGCCGCAGCCTCCTCTGCAAGGGTGAGCCCGACACTTACACTGGTTACATGTTTTTATACAAAGGCTGAAACTACACTTTTACTGCTCTCCTTCAAACCTCTAATAATGTTTTTCACACCTCTGACCCTTGTGTTCTTTCAGGTTCTCCAACTTAGGAAACACTTGCTACATGAACGCCATCCTGCAGTCGCTGTTCAGCCTCCCGTCTTTCTCCAACGACATGTTAAAGCAGAGCATCCCCTGGAAGAAGGTGCCCATCAACGCTCTGCTCAGGTACAGGACCTGGGTTTATACTTCTGTCATTAAGTCTTTACTGTCTCCAGAGCAATATCCATCCATGAGCACTTCCCTATTGGGCGACATTGAGCTGAGCCAGTGTAACTGTCCCTGCTCTAACTCTGAGCTGAGCCAGTGTAACTGTCTCTCCCGCCGGTGAACAGAACATGTTTTGTTAAAGCCCTACAACAACGTTATTTTGCTTTATATAACAAATAAAGGCTCGCTGCTCATTGAAAAATCCACCGCTGTCCTGACTACAGACAACAGAGAAGCTCCTCCCACAGACAACAGAGAAGCTCCTCCCACCGGCGTCAGGCGCGTCACTCGCGTCAAAAGCTTCAAGTACCAAAATGACAAAACTATCCCGGCGTCAGTTGAAGCGCGTCAAAAGCTTTTTGAAGCTTTTGGTCTGAACGCGCCATAACTGTCCCTGCTCTAACTCTGAGCTGAGCCAGTGTAACTGTCTCTGCTCTAACTCTGAGCCAGTGTAACTGTCTCTGCTCTAACTCTGAGCCAGTGTAACTGTCTCTGCTCTAACTCTGAGCCAGTGTAACTGTCTCTGCTCTAACTCTGAGCCAGTGTAACTGTCTCTGCTCTAACTCTGAGCCAGTGTAACTGTCTCTGCTCTAACTCTGAGCCAGTGTAACTGTCTCTGCTCTAACTCTGAGCCAGTGTAACTGTCTCTGCTCTAACTCTGAGCCAGTGTAACTGTCTCTGCTCTAACTCTGAGCCAGTGTAACTGTCTCTGCTCTAACTCTGAGCCAGTGTAACTGTCTCTGCTCTAACTCTGAGCCAGTGTAACTGTCTCTGCTCTAACTCTGAGCCAGTGTAACTGTCTCTGCTCTAACTCTGAGCCAGTGTAACTGTCTCTGCTCTAACTCTGAGCCAGTGTAACTGTCTCTGCTCTAACTCTGAGCCAGTGTAACTGTCTCTGCTCTAACTCTGAGCCAGTGTAACTGTCCCTCTAGTAGGGGTGGGCGATATGGCCTAAAATTCATATTGCGGTATAATTTGGGACACAGACGGTAGACGGTATATATTGCGGTATAATTTGGTGTGTGAATTTCAATATAGGTCTAGCAGGTTCTTGCATAAAATAGTCAAGATTGTTACTTATTTATATATTAGAATCTAATATATATATTTTTTGAGTTAGAAAATCAGTTGTGAGACGAATAAAGAGACAAATGTTGTAACATACATTATTTATGTATGTTACAGTAAATACCATTCACTGTAAAAGCAATTTTTAAAAAGAAAAACATATGCATTCATTTAAAATATAAAAAACTCACAAATGTTGAAATCAAAGTCTGTAGGAGTTAGACATGGTCATTATTTATAGTGTCTGAGCGTTTTGTGCAGGTACATGGCTTCAGTAAAAGCTATTGTTCGTTTACAAAGCTGGTCTTGCCATTTGTTGACGCTCCGTAAGCGCTTTTCTCTGCGCTTGCAGTGAACTGGATGATTCAATGGATTTATCTGCATTAAAACAGCACATTGGATTTGAACAATTGATGTAAATGATCATTTTGGCACAAATAATTTTGTTTAACAAAGTAGCTTTTGTGAGATATTGACCGCGGAGGTCCGAATCTGACACTAACTTTCACAAACTTCTGCTGTGATGCTGCGGACACGGCACACGCATGGATCTATTTTGGCTCACACTGGCGCTTCGAGCCTACGCCCCTTTGACACTGATTGGCCAAAAGGTAGACGCTTAAACTGATTACTGTGTGTGTATTTACCTCTGCTGGGGCCGCTGTGACAACAATACAGAGACAGAAACACGGTGTTAATGCCGTGCTGTTGTTCGCTGTTTCCAGTGGTGTCTGCTAGGCTAATAGTGCTAGGCTAATGCTAGGCTAATGCTGCTGAATGCCGGTTTGTTTTGGTCCTTTCTGCTGGCGTCACAGCCTGCGCAATTTGATGACATAATGACCTATTGCAATATGCCGGTATAACAAAAATCTACTGTGGGCCAAATTTATATCGCATACCGCTTATACCGTTTATATCGCCCAGCCCTACCCTCTAGGCCTGAAAATGTTCTGAGAGGACCAGGTGCTCTGAGAAGTCCTCTCTCTGTCCTGCTCAGACTGCTCTACAAAATGTCCTACCAACAGTTTTATGGAAATGTCTTGAAAAAGAGGAAGTGCTTCTGAATACGTCGTCTCACTTCTTATCGGACTGGACTGGTCTGGTCTGGTCTGGTTTTGGGTCTCATCTCTTGTCCGTTCCTAGAGTCAGATTTATGCATAATACAAGAACATATAATATGAATAATAATATAAGAACTTTACAAAAAATGTTTCTATACTAATGATTAATCAAGTGTTTTTATAGACATTTCAGGATTAAATATAGAACTTCATATTTTCATAGATGTTGATGCATGAATGACAGAAAACAGAAGTGAATTGACGTGCGCTGTATTTAAAATCTACAACACATGTTAGCATTGTCCATCTGTGTACAGTCTGGTAAATACACATTCATAAAACCAGGAGCTTCCCCAAAAGATACAGGCCTCGCACATAAACAGACTTTAGCACCAAATACATTGCACATTAGCGACATGGGCCTAAAGTGCTTTTTAATTGCACTGCTCCCAATGGCCTCGTATGATGTGTATTGCATCTAAACTGGTCTGAAGTGCAGCTGATATTGCACTGTCAGAAAGAGGTTTTACTGCTCTTTGTGTTAAAACCGTTTCTTTGAGGTCATAGTTGAAATGGATGAATGAATAAAGGAGAAAGTGTATGTATTTGAGATTGTTGCGTCCTGTACCGTTTCCCTGAGTTCTCGTCCCTTCCAGGCGTTTCGCTCACCTCATGGCCAAGAAGGACGTGGGCTGCCCCGAGACCAAGAAGGATCTACTCAGAAAAGTCAAGAGCGCCATTTCCTCCACGGCCGAGAGGTTTTCAGGAAACATGCAGAATGTAAGCTCTTCTACACTGAGTCTGAGTCTCCAGGGTCTTTAAAGCTGCGTTAATGTTATAAGAAATGTTTATTTATATAGCGCCTTTCACAGACCAGAGTCAAAGTCTCTGATTCCACACAGAGAAGGGAGCGGGGCCCAGTACAGGAGGCACAGACCTAGTGTTCATGTTTTCAGAGGTAGGGGAAACCGGAGCACCCGGAGGAAACCTACGCAGAGTGAAAACTCCACTCACAAAGGCCCTGTTCCAACCGGGATTCGAACCCAGGACCTTCTTGCTGAGAAGCGAGAGTGCTATCCACTCAACCACTGTGCCGCCCAAAAATAGATAGGTCATTCTAAAAAGACAGCAGCAGAGGTGGAGCCGCTTGGTTTGGACCATTTTTTTCTGCTCTGGTCCAAAGTGAAATGCTAAATGCTTTGTTAGCGTTTTTCAAAAAGCAATTAGTTTTTGTTGAAATATACTTTTGTTTGTTATAATGTTGTTAACATAAATGTTTTAAACATTTTCCCATGGATAATATGTGGTTCTTATAAGCTGTGTGCCAATCATCAGTTCTATTCAATGTATTTGTGTCTCGCTCTAAATCTCAGAGGACTCTCGGAGGGTTAGGGTCATAGGTTTGAGTATCCAGTGTGTGCCTTTGGGTTCTTTGCTCACTTCTCATTACTGAAATTGTAACGACTCTTTTATATACCTGTAGGACGCACATGAGTTCCTGAGCCAGTGTCTGGACCAACTGAAGGATGACGTGGAGAAGATGAACAAGAGTGAGACGTCTGCAGCAGCGGGAGACGGCAGCAGCTCGTGTGCCTCACTGAGGACTGAACCCGGAGAGGAGACCGAGACCTCACGCATCTACACCTGCCCTGTGGCCGTCAACATGGAGTTCGAGGTCCAGCACACAATCACCTGCAAATGGTGAGTCTGGGTGCCTTCTGCTGCTCCGCCTCCAGGGCGGCAGCAGAGTCCCAGCTCCGGTGAGCATGTGGTCCAGAGATTCAAGATTTAGTTATTATCTCCACTTTAAGAAGAACACATGACATAAGCAGCACCAGAGTAGGGCTGAAACAACTAATCGATTATTGAAATAGTCGACAACTATTTTAGTAATCGATTAATCGTTTTCTGGTTCACACGGACTCAAACAGAGCAAAAATGACATGAAAATGTAGTATTTTTGATTAAAAACTTTGTTTGACTTTGTTTTTATAATTCCATGAATATCTGTCTGTCTCATCCAATCAGAGCAGAATTAGCACAAAGAGCCTGTTACAAACATTTACTTTAAGTTTACGCCATCAATACGTCCTCGAGTGTTGCCACTTTAGCTTTTTGTGATGAACATTTTTTTTTTTCTACACAATTCACAGCCAAGCGATTACTCGACTAATCGTAAAATTAATCGATAGATTAATCAATCAATCAATTTTTATTTATAGGGCGCTTTTCCTGCACAGGGCAACACAAAGCGCCTCACAGTCCACACCACACAATGCACAAATCATCACCATTAAAATACAATTAAAAACACATATGTAATTAAAAAGCATTAAAATCACATAAGTAATTTAAAAACATAAGAATCACACAAGTAATTAAAAACAATAAAATAGTAAAAAACACAAAAAGTTACAACAATAAATAACAATGTGTGTTAAAAAGATAAAATTCTCTAGTTGTATGCACAGGAAAAAAGAAAAGTCTTTAACATGGATTTGAACATTGACAGAGAGGCAGCCAGTCTCACATCCTCAGGAAGACTGTTCCAGACTTTAGCTGCATAGATCTGAAAAGCAGCCTCCCCCTGTCTAGTCCTGACTCTGGGCACTAACAAGAGTCCCGTCCCTGCGCTCCTCAGAGTCCGGGCTGGTTCATATGGGACTAGCATATCATGGATGTACTTTGGTGCAAGGCCATGGAGAGACTTGTACACCAGGAGAGCTGCTTTAAAGTCTATCCTCTGGGCCACGGGAAGCCAGTGCAGAGACCTGAGGACCGGACTAATGTGGTCGTACTTCCTGGTTCTAGTCAGGACTCGGGCTGCAGCATTTTGAATATACTGCAGCTGTTTTACTGCATGTTTGGAGATACCTGTGAGCAGGCCATTGCAGTAATCCAGCCTACTGGAAACAAAAGAATGGATAAGAATCTCCAAGTCTGCCCTGGACACAATATTTTTAATTTTGGCAATATTTTTCAGATGATAAAAAGCTGCTGATGTTACCGATCCAATGTGGCTATTGAAGTTTAAGTCAGAGTCCATTATTACTCCCAGATTTCTGACCTTATTTAAAGGCCTTAGGGAGAGAGACTGAAGGTGACAAATGACGGTCTCTCTTTGTTTCTGGGGACCAAAGACAATCATTTCGGTTTTGTCCGCATTTAGCTGGAGAAAATTGCATTGCATCCACTCACTGATCCGCTGGATACAGTGAAGGAGTGAGTCCACTGGTCCATGTTCTCCTGCAGTCAGTGAGACATAGATCTGAGTGTCATCAGCGTAATTGTGGTAGGACACTTTCATACTTTGAATTAACTGACCTAATGGCAGCATGTAAATATTGAACAGAAGAGGTCCCAGAATCGACCCCTGTGGCACTCCGCAGGTCAGGGCCATATTATCTGAGACATAGTCTCCAATCTCCACACAATACTTCCTTTCTTCTAGATAGGACCTAAACCAGCTTAGGGCGGTACCAGCAACACCAACCCAGTCCTCCAGTCTCTGCATGAGAATCTCATGGTCAACGGTGTCGAAAGCGGCACTCAGATCTAACATGACTAAAACAGAGACTTTTCCTGCATCAGTGTTAAGCCGAATATCATTTGTTACCTTGACTAGAGCGGTCTCAGTACTGTGGTGTGGTCTAAAGCCAGACTGAAACATGTCAAATGAGTCATTAGATATTAAAAATTCAGTAAGTTGTTGGTAGGCAACTTTTTCAAGAATTTTTCCCATGAATGGCAGATTTGAGATGGGACGGTAATTTTCAAGTACCGCAGCATCCAAACTGCTCTTTTTTAGGAGGGGCCTGATGACTGCCTTTTTCAGGGCCATTGGAAATGTTCCAGATAAAAAAGACATGTTTACTATTTGTGTCAATGAGGGTAATAGACTACACATAACAGACTTCAGGAATCTAGGAGGTAGTACATCCAGACTGCAGGTAGAGGAACTAAGACCTGTGATTATCTTTTTAACAGTTTCATCATTGACAGGTGCAAATTGAGCTAGCTCACAAAGCCTCACTGGATGTTGCATTGTTACTTGTGTTGTGGAGGTGATGGTATTTCTGATACCCTGAACCTTGTCTCTGAAGAACTGTGCAAACTCATTACACCTGGATTTGGAGTAGTGTTCTAATGGCAACTCAACAGGGGGGTTCGTTAATCTATTGATTGTTGAAAATAGAACACGCAGATTGTTGCTGCAGCCTTCAATAGTTTCAGAAAAGTATAATTCTCTTGTTCTACGTAGTACTCTGTTAAACTCACACAACTTCTCTTTTAAGAGTTTATAATCACCCTGGAGGTTGGACTTTCTCCACTTTCTCTCTGCTCTCCGGCACTCTTGCTTCTGTGCCCTGACCGGGCCTGCTTTTATCCATGGGGCTTTTTGCTTATTTGTGACCATTTTTACCTTCACAGGGGCAATGGCGTCCAGAGCATTCAACACACTAGAGGTGACAGAGTTAAACAGTTCATCTACAGTAGAACATGATGTGTTCTCAAAATGGATCATTCCCATAAATAGTTCACCCGTGTTTTCATTTAAGTGTCTACTTCTAACAATTTCATATTTAGCGGGTGGTCTGGTAGCAAAATACATGTTAAAAAATACACAGAAATGATCCGACAGAGCAACATCAACTACATTAACTTTTGAAATATTCACCCCTTTCGTGATAAGCAGGTCCAGGGTGTGTCCTCTGCTATGGGTGGGGCCACTCACATGCTGAGTGAGGCCAAAGGATTCAAGTATGGAACTCAGCTCTTTTGCGTATCTGTCATTAACATTATCCACATGAATATTAAAATCGCCTATAATGACTAAACCATCAAAATCTGTGCACACAACTGAAAGCAACTCAGTGAAATGATCAGTGAAACTATGGCATGACTGTGGCGGCTTGTACACAACAATAATAAGAATGGAAGAAGATTTCTTTTGTTCTATTTTAAAAGAAACATACTCAAATGATGAAAATTTCCCAAGAGACACTCTATGGGAGACAATACGATCTTTAAAAACTGCTGCTATGCCCCCCCCCCCCCCTTTTATTTTCTCGTGTTTCATATTCAAATTTGAAATTTGGTGGTGAGGCTTCTATTAAAACTGCATCTCCTGTATTATGGTCAAGCCATGTTTCAGTCATAAACATAAAATCAAGATCATACGAACAGATAAAATTATTAATTAAAAATGATTTGTTGCATAGTGATCTGACATTAAGTAGAGCAAGGTTAAAATTAATATCAGTGTCAGTGGGTTTAGTTGATTGATTACAAAGAACTGGAATTAGATTTCCAGAGTTGGACCGTCTAACTCAACGTAAAACCTCAACTTTAGCTTAAGAAGTAGCTACTGATCTGTTAAAGGGGCTGCATCCAAATTCAGCTAAAATACATCCTTCCTCATCTTCCTAATCCATTGTGTGATGGTTCTGCCTGAGACGTCTGCATCAGTGTTTTAACATCAGTAACTTTCATGTTTCCTCAGTTGTGGTGAAGTTGTGACCAAGAGAGAAGTGTTTAACGACTTGTCCATCGACCTTCCCCGGAGGAAGAAGACTCTCCCGCTGCGCTCCATCCAGGACTCTCTGGACCTGTTCTTCAGAGTACGTCTACCTTTTCTCCCAAACACTAACGAAGCATGGATCTGATACAACTGCTGTTTTTACAGATGGAGGAGATCGAATACTCGTGCGAAAAGTGCAACGGGAAAGCAGCAACTGTGACGCACAAGTTCAGCAAACTACCAAGGTATCTGCAAGACACACTTTATATTATACTGTGATTATTCTGTTATTATACAGTTATCACACTGTGATTATGCTGTAATCAGGGCGGATCCATGGACATACACGCTTATACAACAGAGGCCTCTGATGGGGAGAGTGACCTTTTAAAGCTGGGTTTTCCACTTTAGTTTCATAAATTACAAAAGAAAACACTTTGCTGAGTGAGGGTGGTTCTGTTTGTCACTTGTCTGTCTGAAAAAGTGGATCTAAAGATGTGACAGAAGCAAAAACGATCAGGGACAGAAGCAACTGTTTTAGAGCCAAAACTAGAGACATGGACTTTTGAAAGTATGATCAAAACACATTCTCAGGACTCAGAGCAAATTAATTCATTCATCCATGTTACAGTATGTTCTCTCCTCCACACTGGACCCACTGCTCACCGCAAACCTCCTGTGAGTCCAGAATAAGTGAACAAAGTGTTGCATTAATGGGTCCAATGCCCCGTCCCGGCTCTAAGTTTTCAACAGTCAAGGTTGCTGTTTCTCAATTATAGTGAAAACAATATTTGTTGTTTTAGGTAAACCCCTCTTGTTTCCTGTCTCTGCAGAGTCCTGATCCTGCACCTGAAGCGGTACAGCTTTAATGCTCAGCTCTCTCTAAACTCTAAACTGGGACAACAGGTGGTGATCCCCCGTTTCCTCACACTGACCTCCCACTGCGCAGAGTCCACACGAGCCCCCGTCAGCCTCAACTGGACCTCGGCGTAAGACCTCACCACGGACCAGAGGGGAGGGGCCAGGACCTGCACCTTGGCTTTAGCTTAAGGACTAGCTACTGACCAGAGGAGAAGGACCAGAACCTCCACTTTAGCCCTAGTTTAACTCTTGTGCTATCCATGGGTCAAATTGACAAACATCCAATTTAGTGAAATGTATACAATGAAACACGGCATATGCCCCAAACTGACTAATTGGTTGTTGCTCCCAAACTGGTCTGACCACTCTGGGTTTTATCCAGGTCAATCTTATTACTAATACTAGAGGAACAGTCTTGTAGCATGGTTCAAAGATGGTTTTGCATACATGGCGCCCTCCAAAGGCCTTCTCGGCTTAGACAGCATCATGTTAGATTTCTGACTTGTTTCCAGATGATAATACTGTGTTTCCCTCCAGGTCCAGGGCCCTCAAAAGCTCCCAGGCGCCTGTCTCTTTAATCCAGCGGTAAATACACCAGTCTGTCTGGATCATCTGTCCACAGTGAGTGTCTTTCTGAGTCTCTGGTTTGTGTCTCAGGAGAGTGGGAGGGAAAGCAGCCGGGTCGTCTCTGCTCCTAGACTCAGACGGAGAAGACGAGCCGAGCAGAAGGATCACGCTGAGTCGAAAGAGACGTCCGAGCTGTAGCCTGACGGAGGAGAGCGAGGAGCGAGCGGACGAGGTGAGAGTGCTGCTGCTGCTGCTACTGCTGCTACTGGTTCTGCTGCTACTCCTGCTGGTTCTACTGCTGCTGCTGCTGCTGCTGCTGATACTGCTGCTGCTGGTTCTGCTGCTACTCCTGCTGGTTCTACTGCTGCTACGCCTCACACCAGGGTTTAGTTTACTATAGACGGTACCTGATGGACAATGCTAGTTCAACACAGCCCAATGGGCTGTGGTCTCGCTCTCTCGCCCTGGTCTCGCTCTCGCTCTCTCGCCCTGGTCTTGCGCTATCGCCCTGGTCCTCAGGTCTCTGCACTGGCTTCCTGTGGCTCAGAGAATAGACTTTAAAACCGCTCTGCTTGTTACAAGTCTCTCCATGGCCTCGCACCAAAATATATTAGTGACATGTTAGTCCCATATGAACCAGCCCGGACTCTGAGGAGCACAGGGACTGGACTCCTGCTGGGACTCTGAGGAGCACAGGGACTGGACTCCTGCTGGGACTCTGAGGAGCACAGGGACTGGACTCCTGCTGGGACTCTGAGGAGCACAGGGACTGGACTCCTGCTGGGACTCTTGAGGAGCACAGGGACTGGACTCCTGCTGGGACTCTGAGGAGCACAGGGACTGGACTCCTGCTGGGACTCTGAGGAGCACAGGGACTGGACTCCTGCTGGGACTCTGAGGAGCACAGGGACTGGACTCCTGCTGGGACTCTGAGGAGCACAGGGACTAGACTCCTGCTGGGACTCTGAGGAGCACAGGGACTGGACTCCTGTTAGTGCCCAGAGTCAGAACTAAACATGGGGAGGCTGCTTTTCAGATTCATGCTGCTAAAATCTGGAACCGTCTTCCTGAAGATGTGAGACAGGCCTCCTCTCTGACAATGTTTAAAACCAGGTTAAAGACAGTTCTGTTTAGCTGTGCTACAACTGAGGGATTTTATATTTTTCTTTCTTTTTAATATTTATTAATATTTATATAATTATTTATGATTTTAATGCTTTCTTATTTTGTTCAGCACTTTGAGTTGCCTTGTGTATGAATTGTGCTATATAAATAAACTTGCCTTGCCTAGTCTCTGTGGTCCTACAGTCTAGTCTCTGTGGCCCTGGTCTCTCTGGTCTCATGAGTGTCTCCTTCAGGCCCCTGCGGTGATGGACTCGTCAGACTTCAGCCTAAACGATGAAGAGATGTTGGCCGCGGTGCTGGAGATCAGTCGGCAGGAGGTGGGGCTGGGGGCGGAGCCAGAGGAGGGGCCCAGCAGCAGTCCAGACACCGGCTTTGGGGACGCAGACCCTGGACCAGAGACCGCACCAGAGACCAGACCAGAACCAGGGCCAGAGATGGTCTATCACACAGAGATGGAGACGGACCGGCCGCCTGCAGGTGAGAGCACAGGACAAGCTCTCTCCTCTCTTGGTCTCCCCCTGGTCTCTCCCCCGGTCTCTACCCGGTCTCTACCCGGTCTCTACCCGGTCTCTACCCGGTCTCTCCCCCGGTCTCTCCCCAGTCTCTACCTGGTGTGTCTGGTCTCTTTGCAGACGTGCTGGACTCTCTGGACCTCACTATGGATGAGAACAAGGAGAACCAGACCCCAGAGGCTCAGGAGCTGGACTGGGTCCAACAGTACAGTCTGGAGCAGGAGAGAGAGGAGCAGGAGCTGCAGCAAGCTCTGGCCCAGAGTCTACAAGAACACGTGAGGGTTTCTCTCTTTACCTTCTCTCTCCTCTCTCTGCTCTCTATGCTCTCCCTCCTCTCTCATCTCTCCTCTACTTTCTCTTCTCTCTCCTCTCCTCTCTTCTATCTCCTTCCTCTCTTCTATCTCCTTCCTCTCTTCTATCTCCTTCCTCTCTTCTATCTCCTTCCTCTCTTCTATCTCCTTCCTCTCTTCTCTTTCCTCTTCTCCTCCTCTCTTCTCTCTCCTCTCCTCTCTTCTATCTCCTTCCTCTCTTCTATCTCCTTCCTCTCTTCTTTTTCCTCTTCTCCTCCTCTCTCTCTTCTCCTCTCCTCTTCTCCTCCTCTCTCTCTTCTCTCTCCTCTTCTCTCTCCTCTTCTCTCACATGGTTGGTCCCATTGCAGAATCAGAATCATTTTTATTGCCAACGTAAGTAACAGGAGGTCACAGACTTGGAAATTGCTTTGGCTCAGTGCAACAGTCAAAAAGAGATAATAAAAATAAGAATAAAAAACACTTCTAAAGAATAAATTTAAATTTAAAATAGAGTTACAGTTACTATTTACAATATACAAGTGCACATGGCGCACACCATGTAAGGTGACAGCAGTACAGTGAAGTAAAGTGACGTATGATGGGCAGTAAAGTGACTTTATAAAGGGCGGGGGGACAGGTTAAGAAGTGTTCAAGAGTCCAACAGCAGAGGGGAAGAAACTGTTCTTGTGGCGGGAGGTTCTAGTCCTGATGAACCGCAGCCTCCTGCCTGAGGGGAGTGGTTGGAATAGTCCATGTGCAGGTGAGAGGGGAGTGGTTGGAATAGTCCATGTGCAGGTGAGAGGGGAGTGGTTGGAATAGTCCATGTGCAGGTGAGAGGGGAGTGGTTGGAATAGTCCATGTGCAGGTGAGAGGGGAGTGGTTGGAATAGTCCATGTGCAGGTGAGAGGGGAGTGGTTGGAATAGTCCATGTGCAGGTGAGAGGGGAGTGGTTGGAATAGTCCATGTGCAGGGTGAGAGGGGAGTGGATGGAATAGTCCATGTGCAGGTGAGAGGGGAGTGGTTGGAATAGTCCATGTGCAGGTGAGAGGGGAGTGGTTGGAATAGTCCATGTGCAGGTGAGAGGGGTCGGCTGTGATACGACCAGCCCGGCCTCGAGCTCGGGCGACGTACAGGTCCTGCAGCGATGGAAGGCTGCGGCCGATCACTTCCTCTGCAGAGCGCACAATGCGCTGTAGTCTCTGTTTGTCCCTGACTGTGGCTCCAGAGAACCACACGGTGATGGAGGAGGTGAGGATGGACTCGATGATGGCCGTGTAGAACTGCAGCTTGGCTTTCCTGAGCTGCCGCAGGAAGTACATCCTCTGCTGGGCCTTCTTGATGAGGGAGCTGATGGTCGGCTCCCACTTGAGGTCCTGGGTGATGGTGGTGCCCAGGAAACGGAAGGACTCCACAGAGGTGATGGGGAAGTCCATCACGGAGGGTGGGGGTGGGGGGACAGTGCTCTTCCTGAAGTCCACAATCATCTCCACTGTCTTCTGGGCGTTCAGCTCCAGGTTGTTACCACTGCACCAGGACACCAGCCGGTCCACCTCCCTCCTGTAGGCGGACTCATCGTTGTTGGAGATGAGTCCAATGAGGGTGGTGTCGTCCGCGAACTTGATCAGCTTCACGGAGTCGTGGCTGGAGGTGCAGTGGTTGGTGTACAGGGAGAAGAGCAGGGGAGAAAGAACACAGCCCTGTGGGGCTCCTGTATTTATAATCCGAGAGTCCGAGACATTCTTCCCCAGACGCACTCGCTGCTTCCTGTCCGTCAGGAAGTCAGTGATCCACCTGCAGCAGATGTCACTCCACACTAAACTGTACAATCTTACTTTAAGCAGCAATAAAATAAATGTATGAACTAAAAATGTTTGTACCTAATCATAATTCTTTGATACTATGTAGCTTATAGATATACATGGTATAATCTCAGATGGACAGCTCAAAACCAATTCAAGAAAATGCAAAAAAATTATTGAAATTTGGGGACATAACTGTTAGATTTAGGACATGTCGTGTTGGAGGCTTTGTGAGTGGAAGAACGAACAGGACAGAAGACTATTTAATGGTTGTGGATATAACTATAATCAATCTCTAATCATAGATTATACATAATGCAAACAAAATAATGAAATAACTGCAGATAAACTGGGCATTTTGGACGTAACACTTCACGTCCACCGAGTGTTGCGTCCAAAACTGCTCTGTAGTGCTATTAATAGTGCAGGCATGAATGAAAAGGTGTTTAAGTAGTGCCTAGGGGTGGGCGATATGGCCTAAAATTCATATCGCGGTATGATTTGGGTCACAGACGGTAGACGCTATACATCACGGTATAATTTGGTGTGAATTTCAATATAGGTTTAGCAGGTTCTTGCATAAAATAGTCAAGATTGTTACTTATCTATACATTAGAATCTGATATATATTTTTTGAGTTTGAAAATCAGGTGAGAGACAAATGCTGTAACATACATTATTTATGTATGTTACAGTAAAGACCATTAACTGTGAAAGCAATTTCAGATTCAGATTCATTTATTTGCCATTTGCAGTAAAACCACATTGGAAAAACTGTGCAAGACTACCCCGGTGTGCGCCAGACAGAGAAGACGACACACACCAGAGCTCTTGCCACGGCGCCATCTTTCCGGCGCCATGCGACAAACAGTAGAATAAACAGCAGAGAGCAATAACATCCAGATTACACAGACAATTGGATAGACACATTGTGCTTTGAATAAACCACGGATTTTTTTTCTCGGGATGAAACACCTCCTACAGCCGCCCAATGTGGCTGTCAGAGGGGGGCGGGGTCAGGGAGGGGGTGAGTCGGAAACACAGTGAGGAGTGGAGGGGAGGGAGGGAGCAAGATGAATAGGTAGAGGGAGGCGGGGGAACGGGATCCGAGCTGGAGACTGAAGACTGAATAGTGTGAGTTGTTGTAGATAGTCCGGACTTGTTATTATGGCCTTGGCCCGAGGAATGTGAGATAAGAGTGGAGAGAAGACACAGCTGGAGAAAAACACATCGCCTGAGAGGGACAATATTATATGCAATGTCGCAGTCAAAAACAGGCAGATATTCTATTAAATCCAATTAAACCGAATTGCGGCGCCCTCAGACCCCGTACACAGGGGCAAATCCAAGCCGGGTCAGAGAGTTCAAGCCTGACACACGATGTCATTCAATCTCAGCTCCAGAGTTTTGTTCCCTTCGAGTGAACTAGCTGCAAGATCTTTGATCAACTGTTCCACCAAAACCACTCTCCTTTGTCCAGACACGGCACTCTCAACCACGACTCGGTTAAGCTCCTTGTACATCCCATCAATTTTGTCGGCCAGCAGGTCGTGAATCTTGCGAACTGCCATGCCTCCGAATTTGTGGTAGAAGAGAACCGCTCCAAACCCAAACAGGAGGATCCCCACCACCAAGATGCCAAAGATATATACGTCTTCTGTATCTTCAATGGACAGGGTCGACAGACGGAGGGGCTGAAACTTGTTCCAGCTGTCAAGAGTATACCCCGCTGGTGAAGTCCCGTCCGGGCACACGGGCTCTCCAGACCCACGCTTTTAATATTTATAATAATTATATTTTAAATAATATAAAAATATAAAATATATTATATAATATCTGTAGCAGTTAGACATGGTCATTATTTATAGTGTAAGAGTTTAGTGCGTATGCATGGCTTCAGTAAAAGCTATTGTTCGTTTACAAAGCTAGTCTTGCCATTTGTTGACGCTCCCTAAGCGCTTGCTGTGAACTGGATGATTCAATGGATTTATCTGCATTAAAACAGCGCATTTGATTTGAACAATTGATGTAAATGCTCATTTTGGCACAATTAATTTTGTTTAACAAAGTAGCTTTTGTGATCTATTGACCGCGGAAGTCTGAATCAGACGCTAACTTTACAAAACTTCTGAGATGATGCGGACACGGCACAAGCATGGATCTATTTTGGCTCACGCTGGCGCTTCGAGCCTACGCCCCTTTGACACTGATTGGCCGAAAGGTAGACGCTTAAACTGTGATTACTGTGTGTGTATTTACCTCCGCTGGGGCCGCTGTGACCAATACAGAGACAGAAACACGGTGTGAAAGCCGTGCTGTTGTTTCCAGTGGTGTCTGCTAGGCTAATGTGCTAGGCTAATGCTGCTGAATGCCGGTTTGTTTTGGTGCTTTCTGCTGGCGTCAGAGCCTGCGCAATTTGATGACATAATGAGCTATCGCAATATGCCGGTATAACAAAAATCTCTACCGTGGGCCCAATTTATACCGCATACCGCTTATACCGTTTATATCGCCCAGCCCTAGTAGTGCCCCATTCACTGGACAAGAGTGGGTGCTATGAATATTTGGCAGAAACAGCCGCAGACATTTCTCAACTTTTTCGTGTCATTTTCCACTGTTGCGTCCAAACATCAACCAGGAGAAAAGTATTAGCACTTCCGGTAGTGTATCACACCTTACAAACCAACAGGACGTCAGTACCTTTACAAACCAACAGGACGTCAGTACCTTTACAAACCAACAGTCCAGCGGGAACAGCTGCATGACAGAGACAGGTAAGATTTTATATTTGTGTCCTCTTTTGTTACGTCCAACATATTCCCAGATTGCTTGAAATATTTGGTAGATATATTGTGGAAACATTATGGCCACAGAGAACTCATGCAGTCTGATTGTTTTATCGTAATCTGCGGACTTCCTCTTTGACCTAAGCGTATGTATACAGCGGGAAGGGGGGTAATGGACACAAAGCCCCATAGTGTCCCCCATTACGTCCAAGCCAGATATCAAATAATCTGTTCAAAATGCGTTTTTTTGTGTAATCCGAAATGTCCGAGGGGGAGCTCGTAACCGCGTGGCAATAGTTATATTGTTTTCTGTATGTACTCGAACGGGAGAGTGGATCTCTGTGCCGCAGCGTTCTGACCTGGGGCTGCATTGTACTCAGAGCGGTTCGCGCCTCCACCGGCGAGCGCGCCACCGTAGAGTGGCTGCGTGGTTCTGAGGACCCAGTCGCGCACGGATCGTTCACTGCTTGTTCCGTGCGTGCCTTTGAGTGACCTGTGCACGCAATGAATACATCGGAGCCTCAGGAACTGTCCGTGTCTACTCCATGGATCTAAGCGCCACTAAACTAGCTAAATTAAAGCTGGGATACCAACATTTTCATTGCATTAACAGTTCGTGTTGGTTGTGCCCAGAAGTGAAATGTAATGAACAAATCAAACGAGTTTGTTTTTTGCATTTAGAAAGGGCCCTGTGAGTCATTAATTTGTTTTTCATTGATTTTTTTGTGTGCAAAAGTTTCAGAAGTTTGGGGAAATTATTAAGATATTGTTTGATATTTCAAGCTTTCAAATGTTATGATTTCCCTTCTGTTTTAATGTTATAAGTCATCAGAAGTCAGTGCAACTATATTTTTCTTATATTTAGCCTGAAGTTGCTTTAACCTCTTTACGACAACCGGCGCGCCGGCGGCTGTTTTTGTTTTTAAATGTTCTGCTGGCAATAGCAGATGTATTTTGAACACCAAACCCCAAAAGCTGTATATCATTTTAAAGCTTATTTTCTTATCTACATTTATATACAAGTGTAAACCACATCAGACTTTGCATTCAAACACATAATGTGGGCACAAAATAAATCAATTCCGAAATAGTTTTTTACCTTTGGGCTTGTGCTGTACAAATAAATCAGCTCTCCTCCCAGCTTGCAATACATCATTCTCTCTGGAACAGTCCAAAGGAAAATTATATCCACTTGCATTTCCCAAAGTAAAATCCATTCTGCAGAAATAATCCAAAAATGTGCATTTATCTTTAGCGGAAAAAAAGAGCACAGATGTTACTCTTTCACTTTTAACGGACTTTTAGCTTTGTTTTTCACCCAAACATCTGGTATCCACGTGTTCCTTAGCTCCTTATCTTTCAAATGAGACTACTCCCGAAAAGCTAGACCAATTTTTGGGTCTGCAAGAGGTCCCGTAAGTACAGCTAGTGCTGCTGTTTGCGCATTGAACACTGATATTTTGTGGGGTCCCAACTTGTTTGCTTTTACTTCCGGGATTTACGATTGACATGTCCTTGTAGCCAATGAGGAACGCTTTCGAACAAGGGGTGGGACAATGGTGTCCTGTCTTATGTTGGGCCTGGACAATTGTGCGTAATGGAAGCCAAAAGACGCTCTCGAAGCTGCAATGAATTTACACTCATAAAAAAATAACTTTGACATTTAAAAAAGAAAAACACACATAGATTAGTAACTTATAAGTACCAATAATAAAAAATATCGTTTTTATGATGATTAAATGTAAGTAAAGATATTTGGCACAATTTGGCACACTTGTGCCAAATTGTGCCAAATGTGCACTACTTGATGAAAAGGAGAAACTGCATAAAAACTATAAAACTTAGAAGTCTGAAACTTTAGACAGTTGTTGTCAACAACACAATGAACAGAGGGTTTGAATATTGTGAACTTACAATGAAGTATGCCTTTTTTAGGGCCTTTAGAAATTGAAAATGTTAGGCGAGGCTAAAAAAATTGTTTTTTTTTCCCTAACTTCAAAGGATGCAGAGGAAAATAGGAATGACAAACATTATTTTAGTGTTTTTTTACATAAACTAGAAGGCTCTAGCTTTAAAATGATGCATCACACAAGCATGTGATATGTAAGATGTGTTTTTAAATAAGCAAAGACATTTGGGTATGCCCAACTTTTGTGCAGGAGCCAAAATGAGGCGGGTTCTAAGAGTATGTGGCCAATGATAAACACAAGAAAGATGGTACTTCAATGAAAAATGCTTCTTTTATTCTACTTTGCTGCTGGTTCATTAAAAAGTAAATAAAAATGTCTTATCTAAGACCAGTTTGGCACAGTGCTTGGTCAGTATAGACCATTGCTTCTCAATTATTGTTTGCCAGGCCCCCTTAGGTACAGGAAAACATTTCGCGCCCTCCTCCTTACATCTTTTGAGCAAAAAAAAATCTGCCCTCAGCCCAAAAAGTAAAATATTGACTAACAAGGTTCTCTCTTAATTATGCAAAAGAAACAACATAAACAACAATACTTCTTGTGGTTGTTTTTATATAATAGTTATATATTTTACGTTGAGGCCCTACCAACTTGCATTATGAATGAAAGGGAAATGTAGGTACCCCAGCTTTAATGTAGCGAGTTTAAGTTTCAGGGCTACAGGAGGAGACACGGGGGACACTTCCAGAGGCTCAGAGTTCAGCTTCTCACAGCGCTGCATTTATCGCCTCCACAGGTTGCTCAATGATCCGCACTTGTCCTGTCCGCACTGGTCACATGATGGCTTTGCTTTGGCGGCGCTGGTCACATGATGGCTTTGCTTTGGCGGCGCTGGTCACATGATTGCTTTGCTTTGGCGGCGCTGGTCACATGATGGCCTCGCTTTGGCCGCGCTGGTCACATGATGGCTTCTCTTTGGCGGCGCTGGTCACATGATGGCCTCGCTTTGGCCGCGCTGGTCACATGATGACTTCTCTTTGGCGGCGCTGGTCACATGATGGCCTCGCTTTGGCCGTGCGCTCTCCGCTGTTATCAAAGCAGCTTCACAGAACCGCTTTCATTCACTACAAAGCGTCCACGCTCCGGGATCTTGGTCTCATGCTTTCTTTTCAAATGTTGGTGCATCACCGAGGAGCTGTCGTGATACGCAGTGTCTGCTTTATAAACCTTGCCTGTAAAGTTTTTATCTGCCGTATCCAGACTACAGTGCTCCCAAACTTTAGAAGTTTTTCAACACGGAGCTGATGGACACTGCCATTACTGTTTACGTTTCCGCTCGATAGACACTCTTGAGCATATGTGACTCTCAGCAGAGATTGTTTGTGAGACGAGGGAGGCCTCACTTTGTTGGAAAAACACGTCTGGAATTCATTGTCAACTATTTCTATTATCGATTTTTGTCAACGTCGACTAATCGTTATTTTTTTATTAAACCACATTGGCTGACATGTATTTCAGGCTTTTTTTAAAAGGGCCCATTCTCATCCATGCTACTGTGTAAGGTTCACTAGGAACTATACAACACATTTTCAGTAAAACCGGACTTGTTTTACTGCACTTGCAGACTTGTTTATTTCAAATAATTAATTTCACTGTATATTGTGCCTTTCTGGTAACTGGTCCTTTGTTGTTGTTAGTGATGTCTTTTATGGTCATTAGAACTGGACTTAGAGAGTGCATGATGATTCTATTATTTTGAAACTGAAGTGAGGCAGGACAAGTAAACTATCTAACCCTTTTTTAGGTTGTCAAGATGAAGGACTACGCCGTTTACTTCTGTCGCCAGTTCTCCCTGAGCCGGTCCTGACTGCAGATCCTTCAGGATCATCTGAGTTTACTCTTTTACACCAGTCTGGTGCAGCATTATTTGATTGGTCAAAAAGGAAAGACAAAGACTTGATCTCCTCAGAAAGGGTTTTTTGGGCCCATAACCCTTATTGGCCATGGTCCGTTTCAAACTGAGGAACACATGTTTCACTCCAGTGAAACAAAATATCATCAATTTAGGAAAGAGTTGCATTAACTCATGCCATAAACTAATTTCTAATGTATTTACCTGAAAAAATGTATCAATATATTAAAATTGTTCAGTATTTTGACAAGATACATAGCCATGTTTTGTTCCATAAACGTTTATGTGGCTGCTTATGTTATTGCTAAAAGGATTTGACACGTTTTTTTGAGGACTGTTTATTTGAAATAAACTTTAAAGAAAGTACAATTTAGAACCTTTTTTCTTTTACATTTTAAATTTTAGCCTGGCCGTGGATAAACGTAGGTAAATGGTGTCCATGTTATTGTGATTTTTCACCATGGCTTGATTTCTATGTTCAATTCTTGAATGTGTTTGAATATCAATCCGTTTTAAATATCAATGTAATCTGCAGTTTCCAATGAAACATGAATAAAAGCACAGGACTGAACAATGACATGATACATTTGATACAGACATAACACTTTGCTGTTAACTGATAAAACATTCTATGAAGAAGGTAAATGCCTGAGATACACTTTAGAACTGAATCTTCTGTCCCTGTTACAAACAGTTGAATGTTTTTTGTGCTTAAACGCTATGTCAAAATTAGACAAATTAACGGGTTTTCTTTTTAAGTTTTTTCTGATCACCCGAAGCCACTACTTAATAAATATATAGGAAATATGATTGGAAACGGTTCCAAATCTGAACCATGTGTAACACATGGTGTGTTACACATTTAGTGTGGAGTGAGCCATAAAGGACTGAGCCGTTCATGTGATGAAGGGGTGAGGCGTTCATGTGATGAAGGGGTGAGGCGTTCATGTGATGAAGGGGTGAGCCGTTCATGTGATGAAGGGGTGAGCCGTTCATGTGATGAAGGGGTGAGCCGTTCATGTGATGAAGGGGTGAGGCGTTCATGTGATGAAGGGGTGAGGCGTTCATGTGATGAAGGGGTGAGGCGTTCATGTGATGAAGGGGTGAGGCGTTCATGTGATGAAGGGGTGAGCCGTTCATGTGATGAAGGGGTGAGCCGTTCATGTGATGAAGGGGTGAGGCGTTCATGTGATGAAGGGGTGAGGCGTTCATGTGATGAAGGGGTGATGTTTTATTTGCAGGAGGCGCAGGAGATGAGAGAAGACGACGACCTGAAGAGGGCGACAGAGCTCAGTTTACAAGGTGAGCTTCAGCTGGTTCTAACACATGGTCTGGATCAGAGCCAGACTCGAACCAGACCTGAGTCTGGATCAGAGCCAGACTCGGACCAGACCTGAGTCTCTCTCATGGTGAGGTCAAGAGTCCAGCACATTCAATTCAATTCAATTCAACTTTATTTATAGAGCACTTTAAAAACAACACATTTGACCAAAGTGCTGAGCAATCGTCTAAAAACACAGTATAATATAGAAACATATACAAGAATACAAATTGCACAGAAAGTCGACCCACTGAGTTAAGAGCTCACCAAGTCGACTCACCAAGAGGACTTGGTGAGTCCAGTCTGATGTGCAGAGACCAGTCCACAGTCTGAGCTGCTGCTGCAAACGCACCACCCCCTCCACTTCTGTCTGGTCTTTGGGACCACTAGAAGAGCCTGGTCTGCTGATCTTAGAGCCCGTGACGGGGTGTGGGGCCAATCCATGCAAACATTTAAACACAAATAACAATCTTAAACTCAATACAAAGGTGCACAGGGAGCCAGTGAGAGGACAAAGGGGTGATGTGATCACATGGGTGCGTGCCAGTTAAGAGTCTGGCAGCAGCTTTTTAGAATCATTGAAGGCATGAAAGTGAGGTTTTACAGAGTCTGGTATAGAGGGAATTGTAATAATCTAAGCGAAGTTATGACAATATAAAAACGATTTGACTTTGGTAAGTGGCCTCAGTTGAAAAAAGATGGTCTTCACAGCGGCTGATTTGTGCATCCAGTTTTAAAGAGTCCAGATTTGTCCCTACTGTCCCTACTGGGCTCACAGCCTGGGCCAGGGGGGCAAGCTCAGCAGGAACAGCTGCTGCAGTGTCCGTGGATGAGAAAATGACTACCTATCTTTTTGTCATTAAAATGTAAAAAATGAAAAGCCATCCATGTTTTGACCTCATCCAAACACTATCAATGACTTGGACTGAGTCAGTGGCACGAACAACTGACAGTCCGCATAAAAATGGAACAATACTTTGTTTGCGAAGAAGCTCTCCAAGAGGCAACAAATATAATGAAAACAGTAGAGGTCCAAGCACTGACCCTTGGGGAACCCCGCATGTAAGTGAAGCCATGGAGGACTCGGCATCACCAACCCGGACGGAAAACCTCCGGTCAGTCAAATAGGACCAGGACCAGGCTACACCTCTGATGCCAACATGGTTCTCCAAGCGGGACACATGGTTCTCCAAGCGGGACACATGGTTCTCCAAGCGGGACAGTTGGTTCTCCAAGCGGGACAGTTGGTTCTCCAAGCGGGACAGTTGGTTCTCCAAGCAGGACAGTTGGTTCTCCAAGCGGGACAGTTGGTTCTCCAAGCGGGACACATGGTTCTCCAAGCGGGACACTTGGTTCTCCAAGCGGGACAGCAGTATGAGGTGGTCCACAGTATCAAATGCTGCAGTCAGATCCAACAGAAGAAGCGTCTGTAGCGCCAGAACAATATCATTGTAAACCTTTTAAAGGGCCGTTTCTGTGGCCAGCTTTAGAACCTGACTGGAAGGTCTCAAATACCATTACCGTTTTATAATTATGAGTTGCATAAACACAATTTTCTCAAGCATTTTTGACATCAGAGGGAGCTTAGAGATTGGGCGATAGTTGCTTTGCTCATGAATATCCAAGTTTGACTTCTTTATTAAGGGCTGCACTATCACATGTTAAACTCCTCTAACCAGGCTTCATTAAGGATGGCCTCTGTTTGTACATCTGCAGACAGAGGCCACAACTTCTCTCCTCTCCTCTCCTCCTCCTCCTCTGGTCCTGGTCTTACTCTGGTCCTGGTCTGATCCTGGTCTTGTGTGTCAGAGTTCAACAGTTCTCTTCCGGAGCTGCTGTATTCAGACGACTCTGGAAACGAGGACGTGTTGGACATGGAATATACTGAAGCTGAGGCCGAGACCCTGCGACGGAACGCTGAGGTGAGGACCGGCCGGGTCTAGACCTGCTGGGTCTGCACCTGGTCCCACAGAGACACACACCAGGTCTAGACCCTGGTCCCACTGAGACACACACCAGGTCTAGACCCTGGTCCCACAGAGACACACACCAGGTCTAGACCCTGGTCCCACAGAGACACACACCAGGTCTAGACCCTGGTCCCACTGAGACACACACCAGGTCTAGACCCTGGTCCCACAGACACTAGGGCCTTTATTACACTGAGTGTCCTCCCCCCTCACCTCCTCATACCCCTCCTCCCTCCCCCCTCACCTCCTCTTCTGTTGTTTGCAGAGTGGATTCTTACCAAACTCCTTCCGTCTCATCAGTGTGGTCAGCCACATCGGCAGCAGCTCCTCCTCAGGTCAGTCTCCTCCTGAACTCTTTCTGTTCACTTTATTCTCGTCCTAAACCACCGTCTCAGGACTTTCCACAGTTGTTGATTCACCGACACAGATCAGAGAAATGACAAACACAGAGGCCACTGTCCTGGACCATCACCAGGACCTCCTGATGGTTCCCCACGGTGGCTGAGTGGTTAGCACTCTCTGGGTTTGAATCCCGGTTGGAACGGGGCCTTTCTGAGTGGAGTTGCATGTTCTCCCAGTGTCTGCGTAGGTTTCCTCTACCACTGAAATATGTACTCAGAGTCCAATAATAATAATATTATTATTATTACTAAACACTGGGTAACAAAAACATATGTGTTGAAAATAGTCCAGGGTTTCCAGCTGAATCAGACTAATGTCGATGCTCTGAGTCTGAAAATGACCTTGGTTTTGCTCAATCAGGTCAGGATTTTTTGCTACAGAAATATGTTTTAAATCAATTTTGCGTAAAAAACAACTTTCTGCGGATCATCAGCTAAGAAACCCTTGACGTTTTTTCCGTTTTCTTCAAGAAATAAGTCAACGTATCCAAAGTAATTCAGTTTTTATTTACTCCATCAAATTTGATAAGCAGAATCCATAATAACGTAGACTTACATCCGTAACACTGTGGCTGTATCTCACACAGTCGACCTGATAGGACTCAGAACACCAACATTAGTCTGAATCAGTTGAGAAACCTCTGACCATTTTTTGGCTCTCACCTTGTGTAATAATAATAATCATACAGAAGCTTATTGCATTCACTTGAAGTCAAGTAAATCCTGTTTTTACGAGCCAAATAAATCCTCTGTTTAATGACCCGACCAGTGTGATCAGCTCGATCACTCAGTATCTTTTTTATCAACAAAGTAATAAGAGCAAACGGCACTTTTAGGCAGCTTCTTAAACTTCAAATCTGCTAGCCACAGCCTGGACTCGTAGTTAGCCGTTAGCTTATCATAACCCTCTCCTTCCAGCCACACAGCCAGGCGTTTCCATGAGTTAGTACAACCACGGTTTCATGAATGAAACCTGCGTCCGGCCAAATCCAGGTGTAAATGATGCATAAGCAAAAAAATGTACACTTTTGGCTTTTATCAATCTGGACGTGAGCGTACGATACGCACAGACTTTACACCGTCAGGAGGTGGTGTACATTTTACACCCATCTCAACCTTCATCACAACACGCCTACACGCATGAAATGCAAGGTTTGGACAATAAACATGTTCCCGCTCTGACAAGATCATAGACACACCTCTCATTACAAATGTGCTGTTTTACCATGTTATGTTAGGGCTAGTTTGTGTTTTTAAATAACATGCATACAACTCTGACGTCTCCCACAAATGTGTGGATCGTTATAAGCACCTACAATCAGTGCGTAACGGCTTTGGTCCATGCGGGTCCATGCGGGTCCATGCGGGTCCATGCGGGTCTCCTGCTCCGTGAAGTATTGTTTCTTAGCCGTTTACTCACTAACCAGACCCAGCGCCGTAAACATAATTACGGATATGTTTTGCCTCATTCACCTCTGACAAAGCAATGTGGGTTTTCCTTAGTTTTGTGCATAAAGAACCATAAATGCACCTGATCTTGCTCAAAACTGTCTCAGGCCTTTACTCCGCAGAGCAGAGGCCTGTGGATGCAACGTCGGATCTTGCATATCTGGAATATACACCCAAAATATACACCCTTTTCTGCACTTTCATACACATGTGTCCAGAACCCTGAACAACGTAGAACGATCCTCTCTCTGCAGTTGTCTCTAACCCGGTGTCAACAACAGCACAGGGGTTCAATGCCCTCGCTCGTGGTTTCCCCCAAAATATCCACTGCATCGAGCTGATCACACTGGTCAGGTCATTGAACAGAGGATTTATTTGTCTCGTAAAAACAGGAATTTTACTCATAAAAACAGAACCTTTTTTTAATTCAAGTGAATGCAATAAGCTTCCGTAGTTACTTATTATATACTTATATTCTCTGCCGTTGTTGGTTGTCGCCGCAGGTCACTACATCAGCGACGTGTTCGACATAAAGAAGCAGTCGTGGCTCACCTACAACGACCTGGACGTGTCCCGGACACAAGAGGGCGCTGTGCAGAGAGACAGGGACCGCAGCGGATACATCTTCTTCTACATGCACAAGTGAGAGAGGCAGGGGGAGGCCAGAGAGGAGGAGGAGGGGAGAGGGGGGGGGGAGAGCGGGGGGGGGGGGAGAGAGAGAGCGGGGGGAGAGAGAGCAGGGGGGGAGAGAGAGAGAGAGAGAGCAGGGGGAGAGAGAGAGAGAGAGCAGGGGGAGAGAGAGAGAGAGAGCAGGGGGGGAGAGAGAGAGAGAGAGAGCGGGGGGGGGGAGAGAGAGAGAGCGGGGGGGGGAGAGAGAGCAGGGGGGGAGAGAGAGAGAGAGAGCAGGGGGAGAGAGAGAGAGCAGGGGGAGAGAGAGAGAGAGAGAGCAGGGGGAGAGAGAGAGAGCAGGGGGGGAGGGAGAGAGCGGGGGGGAGAGAGAGAGAGAGAGAGCGGGGGGGGGGAGAGAGAGAGAGAGAGAGGGGGGGGAGGCCAGAGAGGAGGAGGAGGGGAGAGAGAGAGAGCGGGGGGGGGAGGCCAGAGAGGAGGAGGAGGAGGGGGGAGAGAGAGAGAGCGGGGGGGGGGAGAGAGAGGAGGAGGAGGAGGAGGGGAGAGAGAGAGAGAGAGCGGGGGGGGGGAGAGAGAGCGGGAGAGAGAGAGAGAGAGCGGGCGGGAGAGGAGGAGGAGGGGGGAGAGAGAGAGAGCGGGGGGGGGAGAGGAGGAGGAGGGGAGAGAGAGAGAGCGGGGGGGGGGAGAGAGAGAGCAGGGGGGGGGAGAGAGAGAGGGAGAGGAGGGGGGGAGAGAGAGAGAGGAGGGGGGGAGAGAGGGGGGGGGGAGAGAGGAGGAGGAGGGGAGAGAGAGAGAGAGAGCAGGGGGGGGGAGAGAGAGAGAGAGCGGGGGGGGGAGAGAGAGAGAGAGAGGAGAGAGAGAGAGAGGAGAGAGAGAGGAGGCAGTGTCACTTCCTGTGTTGTATTAAAGCTGGTGTGTTCTCAGAGACGTGTTGGAGCAGCTGTCGGAGTCAGAGAAGACTGGGCCCAGTTCCACAGACGCAGCCAGAGCCGTGCTACAGCCGCTTTAGACCGCTTTAGACCGCTTTAGACCGCTTTATCATCCACCTCAGTCTAATTTAAACTTTATCTAAACTTTAAGTCCTCCTCCTGGTCCTCCTCCTGGTCCTCCTGGTCCTCCTGGTCCTCCTGCCAACAGATGTTAGAGTCCAACATAAGCTTTGGGTTTGGGGTAAATCTAATGTTTTGTAAATGTTGTTTGTTGCTGTTGAAGCGACTCTGTGTCGATGAAATGTTTTTGAAATTATAAATAAAGTTTTATTCTATGTTGAACTATAAGTGACACGTGTTTTATGGTTTTATTCTGGGTCAATGCTGTCAATGAGGACGTTAGATTGGAAAGGTGACGTGAGGAACCAGAAGGAGACCAGAGGGACCAGTGGGACCAGACCAGATGTACTACAGGGAGTGTGTTTTTGTCTCCACTGTCTCTGGTCACTCAGGTCTCTCTCATGTCTCTGGTCACTCAGGTCTCTCTCATGTCTCTGGTCACTAAGGTCTCTCTCATGTCTCTGGTCACTCAGGTCTCTCTCATGTCTCTGGTCACTAAGGTCTCTCTCATGTCTCTGGTCACTAAGGTTTCTCTCATGTCTCTGGTCACTCAGGTCTCTCTCATGTCTCTGGTCACTAAGGTCTCTCTCATGTCTCTGGTCACTAAGGTCTCTCTCATGTCTCTGGTCACTCAGGTCTCTCTCATGTCTCTGGTCACTCAGGTCTCTCTCATGTCTCTGGTTACTAAGGTCTCTCTCATGTCTCTGGTCACTAAGGTCTCTCTCATGTCTCTGGTCACTAAGGTCTCTCTCATGTCTCTGGTCACTCAGGTCTCTCTCATGTCTCTGGTCACTCAGGTCTCTCTCATGTCTCTGGTTACTAAGGTCTCTCTCATGTCTCTGGTCACTCAGGTCTCTCTCATGTCTCTGGTCACTCAGGTCTCTCTCATGTCTCTGGTCACTCAGGTCTCTCTCATGTCTCTGGTCACTCAGGTTTCTCTCATGTCTCTGGTCACTCAGGTCTCATGTCTCTCTCACTCAGGTCTCTCTCATGTCTCTGGTCACTCAGGTTTCTCTCATGTCTCTGGTCACTCAGGTCTCATGTCTCTCTCACTCAGGTCTCTCTCATGTCTCTGGTCACTCAGGTCTCTCTCATGTCTCTGGTCACTCAGGTTTCTCTCATGTCTCTGGTCACTCAGGTCTCATGTCTCTCTCACTCAGGTCTCCCTCATGTCTCTGGTCACTCAGGTCTCTCTCATGTCTCTGGTCACTCAGGTCTCTCTCTCTGGTCTCTCTCATGTCTCTGGTCACTCAGGTCTCTCTCATGTCTCTGGTCACTCAGGTTTCTCTCATGTCTCTGGTCACTCAGGTCTCTCTCACTCAGGTCTCTCTCATGTCTCTGGTCACTCAGGTCTCTATCTCTGGTCTCTCTCATGTCTCTGGTCACTCAGGTCTCTCTCATGTCTCTGGTCACTCAGGTCTCTCTCATGTCTCTGGTCACTCAGGTCTCTCTCATGTCTCTGGTCACTCAGGTCTCTCATGTCTCTGGTCACTCAGGTCTCTCTCATGTCTCTGGTCACTCAGGTCTCTCATGTCTCTGGTCACTCAGGTCTCTCTCATGTCTCTGGTCACTCAGGTCTCATGTCTCTGGTCACTCAGGTCTCTCTCTCATGTCTCTGGTCACTCAGGTCTCTCTCTCATGTCTCTGGTCACTCAGGTCTCTCTCATGTCTCTGGTCACTCAGGTCTCTCTCATGTCTCTGGTCACTCAGGTCTCTCTCATGTCTCTGGTCAATGTCTCTGGTCACTCAGGTCTCATGTCTCATGTCTCTGGTCACTCAGGTCTCTCCCTCTGGTCTCTCATGTCTCTGGTCACTCAGGTCTCTCCCTCTGGTCTCTCATGTCTCTGGTCACTCAGGTCTCATGTCTCTCTCACTCAGGTCTCATGTCTCTCTCACTCAGGTCTCTCATGTCTCTCTCACTCAGGTCTCTCTCATGTCTCTGGTCACTCAGGTCTCTCTCGGGTCTCTCTCATGTCTCTGGTCACTCAGGTCTCTCATGTCTCTGGTCACTCAGGTCTCTCTCGGGTCTCTCTCATGTCTCTGGTCACTCAGGTCTCTCTCTCTCTGGTGTGTCTCTGGTCTCTCTCTGGTGTCTGGCCTCTTGCTGGTTTCTCTGGTGTCTCTGGTCTCTTGCTGGTCTCTCTCTGGTCTCTTGCTGGTCTCTGTGTTGTGTGATTGAAACAAACTAAATGAAGATAAGTTTTATTAACATTGAATCATAAATCAGTAAAATCAGCAGTTTTTAGCGTCAGAAAAGTAAACATTAAAGCTGTTAAAGCTCAGGGACCTGACTTTAGATTCCAGTCATTTGTAAAGTTACAGCAGCTTTGATTGTAGATTATCTTTATCACGTGGGAAGATTCCTGCTGTGAAGGAGCAGCGGCTCTTCTCCAAGCTCCAAGATGATTGTGAATGTTCGGTCAATAGGGGACCGTGGAGCAGTGACCATCGAGGGCTCCATCATGAAAGCACCTGGTCTTGGTCTCTGGTCTGGACCAGAGGAGGTGGGACTGGACCTCAGGAGGAGGAGGTGGGTCTTCAGAGTCCTGGCAGCTCCTCCTCATGAGCTGCTCCTCCTCATGAGCTGCTCCTCCTCATGAGCTGCACCTCCTCATGAGCTGCACCTCCTCATGAGCTGCTCCTCCTCATGAGCTGCTCCTCCTCATGAGCTGCTCCTCCTCATGAGCTGCTCCTCCTCATGAGCTGCACCTCCTCATGAGCTGCTCCTCCTCATGAGCTGCACCTCCTCATGAGCTGCACCTCCTCATGAGCTGCTCCTCCTCATGAGCTGCTCCTCATGAGCTGCTCCTCCTCATGAGCTGCACCTCCTCATGAGCTGCTCCTCCTCATGAGCTGCACCTCCTCATGAGCGGCTGTAGTCTGCGTCCTGTGAGTCTGAAGAACTCATCCACGATGTAGTTCTCTCTCTGAGACATCTGTAATACACAGGATCAGAACAATACACAGGATCAGAACAATACACAGGATCAGAACAATACACAGGATCAGAACAATACACAGGATCAGAACAATACACAGGATCAGAACAATACACAGGGTCAGAACAATACACAGGATCAGAACAATACACAGGATCAGAACAATACACAGGGTCAGAACAATACACAGGATCAGAACAATACACAGGATCAGAACAATACACAGGATCAGAACAATACACAGGATCAGAACAATACACAGGATCAGAACAATACACAGGATCAACAGGTGCTGGGACCCCAGATTGAGAAGCACTTTACCTCGGTCCACTCTTCGTCTGTTTCGTGCCGATACCCGAGAAGGTGACAGATACCATGAGCCGTGACTGTCTGCAACACACAACACAGGAGACTAGAGAAGGTCTGCGTGTTGTTTACACACGTGTCAGAGCCCCACAGGGAAGACAGGTGTCAGAGGACCAGAGAGAGACCAGAAAGAGACCAGAGAGAGACCAGAGAGAGACCAGAGAGAGAGACCAGAAAGAGACCAGAGAGAGACCAGAGAGAGACCAGAGAGAGAGACCAGAAAGAGACCAGAGAGAGACCAGAGAGCGACCAGAAAGAGACCAGAGAGAGAGACCAGAGAGAGACCAGAGAGAGAGACCAGAAAGAGACCAGAGAGAGAGACCAGAGAGAGACCAGAGAGAGAGACCAGAAAGAGACCAGAGAGAGACCAGAGAGAGAGACCAGAAAGAGACCAGAGAGAGAGACCAGAGAGAGACCAGAGAGAGAGACCAGAAAGAGACCAGAGAGAGAGACCAGAGAGAGAGACCAGAAAGAGACCAGAGAGAGAGACCAGAGAGAGACCAGAGAGAGAGACCAGAAAGAGACCAGAGAGAGACCAGAGAGAGAGACCAGAAAGAGACCAGAGAGAGAGACCAGAGAGAGACCAGAGAGAGAGACCAGAGAGAGAGACCAGAAAGAGACCAGAGAGAGACCAGAGAGAGAGACCAGAAAGAGACCAGAGAGAGAGACCAGAAAGAGACCAGAGAGAGACCAGAGAGAGACCAGAGAGAGAGACCAGAGAGAGACCAGAGAGAGAGACCAGAAAGAGACCAGAGAGAGAGACCAGAGAGAGACCAGAGAGAGAGACCAGAAAGAGACCAGAGAGAGAGACCAGAGAGAGACCAGAGAGAGAGACCAGAAAGAGACCAGAGAGAGACCAGAGAGAGAGACCAGAAAGAGACCAGAGAGAGAGACCAGAGAGAGACCAGAGAGAGAGACCAGAAAGAGACCAGAGAGAGAGACCAGAGAGAGAGACCAGAAAGAGACCAGAGAGAGAGACCAGAGAGAGACCAGAGAGAGAGACCAGAAAGAGACCAGAGAGAGACCAGAGAGAGAGACCAGAAAGAGACCAGAGAGAGAGACCAGAGAGAGACCAGAGAGAGAGACCAGAGAGAGAGACCAGAAAGAGACCAGAGAGAGACCAGAGAGAGAGACCAGAAAGAGACCAGAGAGAGAGACCAGAAAGAGACCAGAGAGAGACCAGAGAGAGACCAGAGAGAGAGACCAGAGAGAGACCAGAGAGAGAGACCAGAAAGAGACCAGAGAGAGAGACCAGAGAGACCAGAGAGAGAGACCAGAGAGAGACCAGAAAGAGACCAGAGAGAGACCAGAGAGAGAGACCAGAGAGAGACCAGAAAGAGAGACCAGAGAGAGAGACCAGAGAGAGACCAGAGGGAGACCAGAGGGAGACCAGAAAGACCAGAGAGATAAACCAGGTCTCTCTCTGGTTTTAAAGTGAGTTGTTGGTCTGTAATCTTACCGTTAGCGCGCTGTGGAAATCTAAAGCCTCTTCTTGACTTTGCTTCATCACAAACTCGACTCCGAGGAAAATGTCTCCGAGGTTCAGCTCGTCCCGGTGCAAAGGACTCGGCAGCGTCCCGGGTCTGAGGTCCTGAAGCAACACAGGGTTTTACAGACTCAGATCTGTGTCAGGGATGGAGGTCTACACATGTGACAGAGACCAGAAATACAGACGAAAACTATTCTCTCTGGTCTCTCTCCCTCTGATCTCTCTCTCTGGTCTCCCTTTCTCTCTCTCTGGTCTCTCTCTCTCTCTGGTCTCTCTCTGGTCTCTCTCTCTGGTCTCTCTCTCTGGTCTCTCTCTCTCTGGTCTCTCTCTCTCTGGCATCTCTCTTTCTCTGGTCTCTCTCTGGTCTCTCTCTGGTCTCCCTCTGGTCTCTCTCTGGTCTCTCTCTGGTCTCTCTCTGGTCTCTCTCTGGTCTCTCTGGTCTCTCTCTGGTCTCTCTCTCTGGTCTCTCTCTCTGGTCTCTCTGGTCTCTCTTTCTCTGGTCTCTCTCTGGTCTCTCTCTCTGGTCTCTCTGGTCTCTCTCTGGTCTCTCTCTCTGGTCTCTCTCTCTGGTCTCTCTCTCTCTCTGGTCTCTCTCTCTGGTCTCTCTCTGGTCTCTCTCTGGTCTCTCTCTCTGGTCTCTCTCTGGTCTCTCTCTGGTCTCTCTCTCTGGTCTCTCTCTGGTCTCTCTCTGGTCTCTCTCTGGTCTCTCTCTGGTCTCTCTCTCTGGTCTCTCTCTCTGGTCTCTCTCTGGTCTCTCTCTCTGGTCTCTCTCTGGTCTCTCTCTGGTCTCTCTCTCTCTGGTCTCTCTCTGGTCTCTCTCTGGTCTCTCTCTCTGGTCTCTCTCTCTGGTCTCTCTCTGGTCTCTCTCTGGTCTCTCTCTCTGGTCTCTCTCTGGTCTCTCTCTGGTCTCTCTCTGGTCTCTCTCTGGTCTCTCTCTCTGGTCTCTCTCTCTGGTCTCTCTCTCTGGTCTCTCTCTGGTCTCTCTCTGGTCTCTCTCTCTGGTCTCTCTCTCTGGTCTCTCTCTCTCTCTGGTCTCTCTGGTCTCTCTCTCTGGTCTCTCTCTGGTCTCTCTCTGGTCTCTCTCTGGTCTCTCTCTGGTCTCTCTCTGGTCTCTCTCTGGTCTCTCTCTCTCTGGTCTCTCTCTGGTCTCTCTCTCTGGTCTCTCTCTGGTCTCTCTCTCTGGTCTCTCTCTGGTCTCTCTCTGGTCTCTCTCTGGTCTCTCTCTGGTCTCTCTCTGGTCTCTCTCTGGTCTCTCTCTGGTCTCTCTCTGGTCTCTCTCTCTGGTCTCTCTCTCTGGTCTCTCTCTGGTCTCTCTCTGGTCTCTCTCCTTAAAGACCATAAGTCCACGTGCCTCATAGAAGGGGAATGACAGGACGTCCGTGGGCAGGTCCTTCTTCCGGTACATCCTGTTGATTTGCTGAATGCGGAGGTTGTCCACACAGACCACCCCCAGGTCAAACTTCTGCACCCCCAGGATGTGCCTCAGGGTATCCACGTCTCTGCGGAGCCTGGCGCGGCGAATGGGCACCACCTTCTGGAGGTTTCGGAGAACTACACCCATTCTCTCCACTCTTACTGCGTTATTACGACCCCTACGAGAGAACACAGACAGGTGCAGGCCGAGAAACCCTCACGGAGAGCTCAGACTGCGGCGGGAGGATGTGTTTAAGGAGAAGAGTGGTTCTGGGTCCGCGCTGAAGCAGGTTGTAGTAGGCTGAAGCAGGTTGTAGTAGGCTGAAGCAGGCTGAAGCAGGCTGAAGCAGACTGGTGCAGGCAGTATTCAAGGTGACATTTGACTCCAGGCCTTTAGGCAGCGACAGATACACGCACAGAGGACACACAGAGACACACAGAGGACACACAGAGGACACACAGAGGACACACAGAGGACACACAGAGGACACACAGAGACACACAGAGACACACAGAGGACACACAGAGGACACACAGAGGACACACAGAGGACACACAGAGGACACACAGAGGACACACAGAGACACACAGAGACACACAGAGGACACACAGAGGACGCACATGTGCAGTTACTCAGCAGTAATATCAGACACTTATGACAGATGCAGAGCGCGTCTGTCTCCTTCGTTTTCAAAGTCTGTAGTTTGACTTCCTCTGCTCTGATCCTGAGGAAGAAGAGAAACACCGCCCCCTACTGTTCAGCAGCTGCACTGGTCCTGCACTGGTCCTGCACTGGTCCTGCACTGGTCCTGCACTGGTCCTGCACTGGTCCTGCACTGGTCCTGCACTGGTCCTGCACTGGTCCTGCACTGGTCCTGCACTGGTCCTGCACTGGTCCTTCACTGGTCCTGCACTGGTCCTGCACTGGTCCTGCACTGGTCCTTCACTGGTCCTGCACTGGTCCTGCACTGGTTCTGGTTCAGTTTGGTTTTCCAGCAGAGAAGAGCGAGTACTGGTTTCCATAGCAACTGTTTACTGTCAGCAGTTAGCATATGGTCTTTAGCATTAGCTTTTTAACTAACTGTTTTTGATTAATATAATGTTATATTCACCAGTTTTAACGCTGAATAAAAGTGAGGAAAGGTCAAATAAACACTTAAAATCTTTATAAATGACTCACTTTCATCTGGTACATCCTGTGGAGGAATTTCTCAGGATTCCTACAGTTTCAATGAATCATAATGATTTATATCAAGCCAGGTTCAAAATCAGGCATTAGCATGTTTATCATTAGCATGTTTATCATTAGCATGTTTATCATTAGCATGTTTGGCATTAGCATGTGTAGAAGTGTGTACGATGGTGTGGTAAGACCAGGCTGTGTTCAACATCTGACTGCGTTCTTCAAGAGGCGGAACCCTAAACTTCAGCCTCTTGTTGCCAAACGGAAAGAGGACGTAAATAAAAGAGCACCGGAAGCTCCCCCACCGAGCACTCGGCAGAGGAGACAAAACACCCCCAAACTCACCCAAAACGTCACAATGTGTGTGTTTTAACCCGCGGGAAACAGTAACACACAGTTTTTATTTTTTATAACACAAAAGACCAGAAGTGTTTACAGTTTTTATTCTTGTGCTGAGACAGCCCGCGCTCACGACCCTAACCCGACATGCGGTGACACAGTGTTGCTCCTGACTCCGGCCTCCTCCAGCTCCAACATGAATCCTTCTAACCCGTTTGGGAGCACCCAGAGCGGGGCGTTTCAGGCCCCGAACCCCGCGGGGAAAGTGGGTCCTTTTCAGCCTGTGTTTGGTCAGAGTTCCGCGGCTCAGGCCCAGAGCTCCGGGGGCTTTTTCGGGTCTGGATTCGGACAAACGCCAAACACGAGTATGTTTGGACAAGTAAGTCTGAAGGACGAGGGTTCAATTCAGGAGCTGTTTTAATGCCAGGCTCTTTCCAGCCACAACAGTCAAACTATGTCATCACAGAGAGACATGGTTTTCACATGTGTGTATTTAGGCACTCTTTACATCAGCTTCTATAGATCAGCTTCTATAGATCAGCTTCTGTAGGTCAGCTTCTGTAGGTCAGCTTCTGTAGATCAGCTTCTGTAGATCAGCTTCTGTAGATCAGCTTCTGTAGATCAGCTTCTGTAGATCAGCTTCTGTAGATCAGCTTCTGTAGATCAGCTTCTGTAGATCAGCGTCTGTAGATCAGCTTCTGTAGATCAGCTTCTATAGATCAGCTTCTGTAGATCAGCTTCTGTAGATCAGCTTCTGTAGATCAGCTTCTGTAGATCAGCTTCTGTAGATCAGCTTCATAGATCGGCTTCTGTAGATCGGCTTCTGTAGATCAGCTTCTGTAGATCAGCTTCTGTAGATCAGCTTCTGTAGATCAGCTTCTGTAGTTCAGCTTCTGTAGATCAGCTTCTGTAGATCAGCTTCTGTAGATCAGCTTCTGTAGATCAGCTTCTGTAGATCAGCTCCTGTAGATCAGCTTCTGTAGATCAGCTTCTGTAGATCAGCTTCTATAGATCAGCTTCTGTAGATCAGCTTCTGTAGGTCAGCTTCTGTAGATCAGCTTCTGTAGATCAGCTTCTGTAGATCAGCTTCTGTAGATCAGCTTCTGTAGATCAGCTTCTGTAGATCAGCTTCTGTAGATCAGCTTCTGTAGATCAGCTTCTGTAGATCAGCTTCTGTAGATCAGCTTCTGTAGATCAGCTTCTGTAGATCAGCTTCTGTAGATCAGCTTCTGTAGATCAGCTTCTGTAGATCAGCTTCTGTAGATCAGCTTCTGTAGATCAGCTTCTGTAGATCAGCTTCTGTACTGTAGATCAGCTTCTGTAGATCAGCTTCTGTAGATCAGCTTCTGTAGATCAGCTTCTGTAGATCAGCTTCTGTAGATCAGCTTCTGTAGATCAGCTTCTGTAGATCAGCTTCTGTAGATCAGCTTCTGTAGATCAGCTTCTGTAGATCAGCTTCTGTAGATCAGCTTCTGTAGATCAGCTTCTATAGATCAGCTCCTGTAGATCAGCTTCTGTAGATCAGCTTCTGTAGATCAGCTTCTGTAGATCAGCGTCTGTAGATCAGCTTCTGTAGATCAGCTTCTGTAGATCAGCTTCTGTAGATCAGCTTCTGTAGATCAGCTTCTGTAGATCAGCTTCTGTAGATCAGCTTCATAGATCAGCTTCTGTAGATCGGCTTCTGTAGATCAGCTTCTGTAGATCAGCTTCTGTAGATCAGCTTCTGTAGATCAGCTTCTGTAGATCAGCTTCTGTAGATCAGCTTCTGTAGATCAGCTTCTGTAGATCAGCTTCTGTAGATCAGCTTCTGTAGATCAGCTTCTGTAGATCAGCTTCTGTAGATCAGCTTCTGTAGATCAGCTTCTGTAGATCAGCTTCTGTAGATCAGCTTCTGTAGATCAGCTTCTGTAGATCAGCTTCTGTAGATCAGCTTCTGTAGATCAGCTTCTGTAGATCGGCTTCTATAGATCGGCTTCTGTAGATCGGCTTCTGTAGATCAGCTTCTGTAGATCAGCTTCTGTAGATCAGCTTCTGTAGATCAGCTTCTGTAGATCAGCTTCTATAGATCAGCTTCTGTAGATCAGCTTCTGTAGATCAGCTTCTGTAGATCAGCTTCTGTAGATCAGCTTCTGTAGATCAGCTTCTGTAGATCAGCTTCTATAGATCAGCTTCTGTAGATCAGCTTCTGTAGGTCAGCTTCTGTAGATCAGCTTCTGTAGATCAGCTTCTGTAGATCAGCTTCTGTAGATCAGCTTCTGTAGATCAGCTTCTGTAGATCAGCTTCTGTAGATCAGCTTCTGTAGATCAGCTTCTATAGATCAGCTTCTGTAGATCAGCTTCTGTAGATCAGCTTCTGTAGATCAGCTTCTGTAGATCAGCTTCTGTAGATCAGCTTCTGTAGATCAGCTTCTGTAGATCAGCTTCTGTAGATCAGCTTCTGTAGATCAGCGTCTGTAGATCAGCTTCTGTAGATCAGCTTCTATAGATCAGCTTCTGTAGATCAGCTTCTGTAGATCAGCTTCTGTAGATCAGCTTCTGTAGATCAGCTTCTGTAGATCAGCTTCATAGATCGGCTTCTGTAGATCGGCTTCTGTAGATCAGCTTCTGTAGATCAGCTTCTGTAGATCAGCTTCTGTAGATCAGCTTCTGTAGTTCAGCTTCTGTAGATCAGCTTCTGTAGATCAGCTTCTGTAGATCAGCTTCTGTAGATCAGCTTCTGTAGATCAGCTCCTGTAGATCAGCTTCTGTAGATCAGCTTCTGTAGATCAGCTTCTATAGATCAGCTTCTGTAGATCAGCTTCTGTAGGTCAGCTTCTGTAGATCAGCTTCTGTAGATCAGCTTCTGTAGATCAGCTTCTGTAGATCAGCTTCTGTAGATCAGCTTCTGTAGATCAGCTTCTGTAGATCAGCTTCTGTAGATCAGCTTCTGTAGATCAGCTTCTGTAGATCAGCTTCTGTAGTTCAGCTTCTGTAGATCAGCTTCTGTAGATCAGCTTCTGTAGATCAGCTTCTGTAGATCAGCTTCTGTAGATCAGCTTCTGTAGATCAGCTTCTGTAGATCAGCTTCTGTAGATCAGCTTCTGTAGATCAGCTTCATAGATCAGCTTCTGTAGATCAGCTTCTGTAGATCAGCTTCATAGATCAGCTTCTGTAGATCAGCTTCTGTAGATCAGCTTCTGTAGATCAGCTTCTGTAGATCAGCTTCTGTAGATCAGCTTCTGTAGATCAGCTTCTGTAGTTCAGCTTCTGTAGATCAGCTTCTGTAGATCAGCTTCTGTAGATCAGCTTCTGTAGATCAGCTTCTGTACTGTAGATCAGCTTCTGTAGATCAGCTTCTGTAGATCAGCTTCTGTAGATCAGCTTCTGTAGATCAGCTTCTGTAGATCAGCTTCTGTAGATCAGCTTCTGTAGATCAGCTTCTGTAGATCAGCTTCTGTAGATCAGCTTCTGTAGATCAGCTTCTGTAGATCAGCTTCATAGATCAGCTTCTGTAGATCAGCTTCTGTAGATCAGCTTCTGTAGATCAGCTTCTGTAGATCAGCTTCTGTAGATCAGCTTCTGTAGATCAGCTTCTGTAGATCAGCTTCTGTAGATCGGCTTCTATAGATCAGCTTCTATAGATCAGCTTCTGTAGATCAGCTTCTATAGATCAGCTTCTGTAGATCAGCTTCTGTAGATCAGCTTCTGTAGATCAGCTTCTGTAGATCAGCTTCTATAGATCAGCTTCTGTAGATCAGCTTCTGTAGATCAGCTTCTGTAGATCAGCTTCTGTAGATCAGCTTCTGTAGATCAGCTTCTATAGATCAGCTTCTGTAGATCAGCTTCATAGATCAGCTTCTGTAGATCAGCTTCTATAGATCAGCTTCTATAGATCAGCTTCTGTAGATCAGCTTCTGTAGATCAGCTTCTATAGATCAGCTTCTATAGATCAGCTTCTGTAGATCAGCTTCATAGATCAGCTTCTGTAGATCAGCTTCTATAGATCAGCTTCTATAGATCAGCTTCTGTAGATCAGCTTCTGTAGATCAGCTTCTGTAGATCAGCTTCTGTAGATCAGCTCCTGTAGATCAGCTTCTGTAGATCAGCTTCTATAGAGTGGACTTCATGTTGCACTCGACTGCACTATTTACTATTTACACATGAATAACATTTACAGGCTCAGCAGTTTTCATTGTACAGTCTGACAGCAGTAGGAAGGGAAGATCTGAGGAACCCCTCCTTTACACAGCGAGGGTGGATCAGTCTGTCACTGAAGCTGCTCTCCTGCAGTGTCCTGCAGGGGGCGACAGTCATGGTCCAGATGTTAGTTTGTCCAGGACCCTCCTGTCCCCCACCTGCTGCACTGTGTCCAGGATACAGCTGGTCTTCCTGATGTTCCAGCTTCTTCCTGTCCCTCTCTGTGATGCTGCTCCAACAGAGTAATGTTAAGAACTATTTGTAATTGTCACTGCTCCAATTCTGGTTCTGGACTGTATGATTATAATGTTTATACATTTGACTCTATAGTATTTAAAATGCGACATGGTTAAACACACATTTGTTTTTCTTCAGGCCTTTGGACAAGCTGCACCTGCTCCACAATCAGGACCAGTTTTTGGCCATGCCTCCTCCACTCCTCTGCAGCCGCCTCCAGCATTTGGACAAACCACAACTCAACAAAACGCTTCCATTTTCGGCCAAACATTGACCACTACTGCGACCACACAACAACCTGCAGCTCCAGCCTTCAGCCACCAGGGCGGCTCTGTGTTCGGAGGCAGTAACGCTCCTGCCTTTGGGCAAACAGCAGCACAACAGAACCAGACCTCCATCTTTGGACAAAACTCTTCCTTTGGAAGTAATTTTGCGGCGTCCGGCATCACAGACGAAGGCTTCAGCAGCCAGAGCGGAGCGTTCACGGCGCAAAAGCAAGCGCCACAGTTTGGCCACGCCCCCACGCCGAGTTCTGGGCTGGGGTTTGCCCAGCCGGTGTTTGGACAGCCGACTTCCACCGCGTCTACGACCAGCGTCTTTGGGACCTCGACAAACACGAGTCAAAGCAGAGGCTTCAGTACGTCTGACTTCAGCTTCAAACCGTCCAACGAGGCGCTGTTTAAGCCCATCATCAGCGCCGGCCCAGACCCGAACACAACCACCGCTCAGTCCGGGTTCGGAGAAGCACCGTCAGGTCTGTTTCAGAACAAACCTGCGCTGTCCGGGTTCAGCTTCTCGCAGCCGGCGCCGTTACCCGGTTCACAGCGGACCGTGGCGCCGTCTCTGGGCGGCGCCGGCGGTTTGCAATTCACCTTTTCACAACCAGCCACTCCTGCTTCAGGCAGTAAGGCCGGAGCAGACGCAGGGCAGCCCACCACTCCCTCCACCTTCAGCTTCACCACAAAGACTCTGTTTGGAGGCAGTAAGTTCAGTGAAGCGAGCAGAGAGAAGGAGCAGAGCGGCGCCGAGCAGAGTGGCGCCGAGCCCACGGCGGAGACCAACGTGTTCGCCAGACTCGGGAAACGCAAAGAGGAGTCACCAGGGTGAGTCACAGCAGCTCCTGCTTCCTCTGAGGCTGTGCATGTAAACACATACACCAGAGACCACATCCTGTCAGACCAGGTGGAGGTGGGAGGGGCCGATGGCACAGACTGGTTGCCTCGCTTCTGTCAGTTTGCCCCAGGGCAGCTGTGGCTACAGTAGTTTATCACCGCTGTGTTTGGAGAGAGAGAATAATGATGTGAAGAGACTTTGAGAGTCCAGAAAAGCTCATGTATTACTAGTCATCTGTGTCTCTCTCTCTGGTCTCTCTCTCTGCTCTCTCTATCTGGTCTCTCTCTCTGCTCTCTCTCTCTGGTCTCTCTCTCTTGTGTCTCTCTCTAGTCTCTCTCTGGGCTCTCTCTGGTCTCTCTCTGGTCTCTCTCTCTCTGGTCTCTCTCTCTGGTCTCTCTCTGGTCTCTCTCTATCTGGTCTCTCTCTCTGCTCTCTCTCTCTTGTGTCTCTCTCTGGTCTCTCTCTCTGGTCTCTCTCTCTTTTGTCTCTCTCTTGTGTCTCTCTCTGGTCTCTCTCTATCTAGTCTATCTCTGGTCTCTCTCTCTCTGGGCTCTCTCTGGTCTCTCTCTAGTCTCTCTCTCTGGTTTCTCTCTGGTCTCTCTCTATCTGGTCTCTCTCTCTGGTCTCTCTCTATCTGGTCTCTCTCTGGTCTCTCTCTATCTGGTCTCTCTTTCTGCTCTCTCTCTCTGGTCTCTCTCTCTTTTGTCTCTCTCTGGTCTCTCTCTCTCTTGTGTCTCTCTGGTCTCTCTCTATCTGGTCTCTCTCTCTGCTCTCTCTCTCTGGTCTCTCTCTCTTGTGTCTCTCTCTGGTCTCTCTCTCTGGTCTCTCTCTCTGGTCTCTCTCTCTTTCTCTGTCTCTCTCTGGTCTCTCTCTCTTGTCTCTCTGGTCTCTCTCTGGTCTCTCTCTATCTGGTCTCTCTCTGGTCTCTCTCTATCTGGTCTCTCTTTCTGCTCTCTCTCTCTGGTCTCTCTCTCTTTTGTCTCTCTCTCTCTTGTCTCTCTCTGGTCTCTCTCTATCTGGTCTCTCTCTCTCTGCTCTCTCTCTCTGGTCTCTCTCTCTTGTGTCTCTCTCTGGTCTCTCTCTCTGGTCTCTCTCTCTGGTCTCTCTCTCTTTTGTCTCTCTCTGGTCTCTCTCTCTGGTCTCTCTGGTCTCTCTCTGGTCTCTCTCTCTGGTCTCTCTCTGGTCTCTCTCTATCTGGTCTCTCTCTCTGGTCTCTCTCTCTGGTCTCTCTCTATCTGGTCTCTCTCTGCTCTCTCTCTCTGGTCTCTCTCTCTGGTCTCTCTCTCTGGTCTCTCTCTCTTTTGTCTCTCTCTGGTCTCTCTCTCTCTTTTGTCTCTCTCTGGTCTCTCTCTATCTGGTCTTTCTCTCTGGGCTCTCTCTGGTCTCTCTCTGGTCTCTCTCTAGTCTCTCTCTCTGGTCTCTCTCTATCTGGTCTCTCTCTCTGGTCTCTTTCTGGTCTCTCTCTGGTCTCTCTCTCTGGTCTCTCTCTGGTCTCTCTCTCTGGTCTCTCTCTCTGGTCTCTCTCGCTGGTCTCTCTCTGGTCTCTCTCTGGTCTCTCTCTAGTCTCTCTCTCTGGGCTCTCTCTGGTCTCTCTCTGGTCTCTCTCTAGTCTCTCTCTCTGGTCTCTCTCTGGTCTCTCTCTCTGGTCTCTCTCTGGTCTCTCTCTCTGGTCTCTCTCTGGTCTCTCTCTCTGGTCTCTCTCTCTGGTCTCTCTCTCTGTCTCTTTTGTCAAAGAAGTGCATAATATTTCATATTACTATCTGTTCCTCTCACAGCGCCTCCCCCTTGAAAGCAGAGAAGGAGGCGCAGGAGGAGGACCTGGGGGGGGATTCGGATGCGCCCCGGCAGCCTCCCAAACGGCCTCTGGTGCGGAGCCGCGGTCCTCCTTCTGGTCCTCCTCCCGGTCTGTTCGGTCGAGCTCTGAGCGGACTGCGCCGAGACCTGACTGCTCCGGGGAAACGTGAGTCTGCGGAGAGCGAGACCGAGAGAGACCAGAGAGCGGCTACTCCTCCAGGGACGACGGCCACAGAGGAACCAGGTGAGGGACCAGGAGAGGGACCAGATGGAGGACCAGGTGAGGGACCAGGTGAGGGACCAGGTGAGGGACCAGGTGAGGGACCAGGTGAGGGACCAGATGGAGGACCAGGTGAGGGACCAGGTGAGGGACCAGGAGAGGGACCAGGTGAGGGACCAGGAGAGGGACCAGGTGGGATGGGGTCTGAGGTCAAAGGACAGTGCTTGCGTTATGAGCAGCTATGACACAGTGTCTACTCCTGTCCCAGACTAACCTTCTCCTGCGACTCCACTGATGTCTGCTGTCGTTGTGTCCTTGGGCAAGACACTTTACCCACATTACCCATACGGAGAGTGCGGATGGAAGTAATGTTCTGTGCCTTGGTGTTTCAGTGTGTGTTCATCACACTGACATCTCCCACTGTGGGACAAATATATATATATTCTCATTCTAAACTTTAGAAGAGAAATTGTGAATAAATGAATTTGTTGAACCCCTTTAACTTCTGTAATAACTTTATGTTCACACCACATGCACCTCCTCTCTCCTCACAGCGCCTCTCCCCTCCCTCGTCTCTCTGCCTGCCCCCCTCTCCTCCTCAGCCCCTCTCCTCTCCTCCTCAGCCTCCTTCCAGTCCTCCTCAGCCTCCTTCCAGTCCTCCCCAGCCCCTCTCTTCTCCTCCCCAGCCCCTCTCCTCTCCTCCCCCCCCCTCTCCTCTCCTCCCCCACCTCCAGACTGGGACAGCGCTCGGACAGCACAGACTCTCTCTCTGGAGCCTCCCCAAACGAGTGCACGGCGCTGCAGTGTCGAGACCTGCCCCCGGTCCTGAACCGCCGCGAGGTCCTGGAGAAACACTTCAGACAGTTCGGCCGAGTGCGCCGAGTGCTCTGCAGGCCGCAGCGCAACTCTGCCATGGTCTACTTCCACGACCATGTGAGTCCTGCTGATAGTCCTGCTGATAGTCCTGCTGATAGTCCTGCTGATAGTCCCACTGATAGTCCTGCTGATAGTCCTGCTGATAGTCCCGCTGATAGTCCCGCTGATAGTCCTGCTGATAGTCCTGCTGATAGTCCCGCTGATAGTCCCGCTGATAGTCCCGCTGATAGTCCTGCTGATAGTCCCGCTGATAGTCCCGCTGATAGTCCCGCTGATAGTCCCGCTGATAGTCCTGCTGATAGTCCTGCTGATAGTCCTGCTGATAGTCCCGCTGATAGTCCTGATGCATGCATTTAGTAAACAGACAGTTATAAGACTTGTTCTCTTGGGTCTCCTCTTCCTCTTTCTCTCTTCCCCTCTGCTCTCTCTCTCTCTCTCTCTCTCTCTCTCTCTCTCCTTTCTTTCTGTGCTCTCTCTCTGCTCTCTCTCTCTCCTTTCTCTCTGTGCTCTCTCTCTCTCCTTTCTCTCTGTGCTCTCTCTCTGCGCTCTCTCTCCTTTCTCTCTGGTCTCTCTCTCCTTTCTCTCTGCTCTCTCTCTCTCCTTTCTCTCTGGTCTCTCTCTCCTTTCTCTCTGCTCTCTCTCTCTCCTTTCTCTCTGCTCTCTCTCTCCTTTCTCTCTGGTCTCTCTCTCTGCTCTCTCTCTCTCTCTCCTTTCTCTCTGTGCTCTCTCCTTTCTCTCTGCTCTCTCTCTCTGAGACATAATGCAGTCTGGTGTTTCAGGCCTCTGCAGTGAAGGCGAAGAGAAAAGGCCGGACTCTGAACAAGTTTGAGATGCAGCTGTTCTGGTGGAAGAAGAAGCACGGTCAGCTTTTCTCTGTGTGTCTGTGTGTCTGTGTGTGAGTGTGTCTGTGTCTGTGTGTGAGTGTGTGTGTGTCTGTGTGTGTGTCTGTGTGTGAGTATGTGTCTGTGAGTGTGTGTGTGTCTGTCTGTGTGTGTCTGTCTGTGTGTGAGTGTGTGTGTGTGTGTGTCTGTGTGTGAGTATGTGTCTGTGAGTGTGTGTGTGAGTGTGTGTCTGTGTGTGTCTGTCTGTGTGTGTCTGTCTGTGTGTGAGTGTGTGTGTGTGTGTGCGATGGCAATGTGTGTTTATGAGTGTTTATGGTTGTGTTACCAGCTGCAGACAGAGGCCCTGGTGTGGACTCAGAGCTGCAGCAGGAGGTCCAGGACTTGGCTGAGACCGTGGTCTCGGTTCCCATGAAGAGACCGGCGCTCAGGCCCTCGGCGCTCGGTGTCTCCTTTGGGTAAACACCAACAATCCTCCATTTGTCTCTTTCTCTGATCTCT